AAAAAAACATCACGGATAACCGCGCACTAATAGATTGTTGCGGACATCGAACACGAATAATATACAACACACGAATAGACAATTATTGTAAATTTTTTACGAATTGTTAACGTGCCGGGCGAGAGCGAAGTCGGAAGCGGAATACGCGCGAATAGTTTTGTGAATTAGTAATTACTGTATTTACTTTTGTAAAATGCCGTTTGACAAAAAAAAAAAAGGGGGAAAAAAAGCAACCCCCCGTATTAATCAGCCTTTAAGACTAAATTAATCGGTAAACACGATTTTAAATCGAGCGCCGCCGCCGCCGTCGGAATAGCTTCGAAAGTCTTATTTCGGTTGACAGATCGCCACCATTAATCTTGCATAACAACTGTGTTTCGGATTTTAATGCAAAATAAATTACGTATACAAAAAAAAAAAAAAAAAAAAAAACTACAACAATTTATAATACGATAAAAAGCGAAATAGTTTTGATTTATTCGCAATCACAATTTATCACGCGCAACGAATAAATCGACGCGCGTGTATAAATAATAGTTATAGGTATACGAGTAAAATATGGCGTCGTTTCCATCTCAATTAGTTGTAGATGTTTCATTATTGGTTCCGCGGTAAATAAAATACTACTCTTTATAATATTATTACCGTATAGCGATATAGAGTACCCCTATAGACGTTTGTTAAAAAAAATCAATCGTGTACGTACCTGCGTACGCTGAGTAAATATAAAAACTAAAATCAGAAAAAAAAAAAAAAAGGTCGTTTTTCGATTGAAACGAGATTTCCGGTATAGAAAAACGTACACCGTTTACGTTTGAAACGTCGTGAATTTGTCCATTTTTCTCTCAACGGCGTTTCCCCGATTATTGTTATAAAAACCCCGTTCGGAAAATCAAAACTATGGTTTGCGAATCGGGAACGCAACTAAGAAGGTCTCGGGATATTATTCGATCGAATCGACCAGTTATCTGTTAGGAAGTCACAGTAAAACCAATACGTTTTTAGCGTCGCGCGGCTCAGAATCTAAAAATCGTATTTTTTTATTTGATCAACATAATATAGTATTCGTTTTGATCGGTTCACATCCGAGAATAAACATAATTAAATTTGAATTATTTTCGAGTCGCGCGGCTTTTTTATTCCGTAAAGTTCGAATAATTTATTTCGAACTCGCATAAACAAATAATACCTAACATATTCCCGAGGCCTTGGTAATTAAAAATTAAAAAAAAAAAATACAGGCATCATTTCGATATTCTCGTATCCACCCGTGTAGAATACACTTGATTAGCGACGGTTCGGCGGACGAAATTTAAATAGTCGTAAAACACATTTCCGGCGCGGCATGTAATAGAAAGCAAGTGCAGGGGGGCTGTCGGTAACGGGGCTTTCAGGCATAACTGATAGTAAATAACGGGATTTGAAATCTATGTTGTATTTAGTGATCAGCTAAAGAATGGTCCCGTTACAGAGTTTCTCGCCACCGGTATCGGGTATCGGCCCCGGAGCCACCGTCGGGTTTTAGGCACTATCATTCCGATAAAAACGTCGCTGAATTTCGGGAGACGCCTCAGTTTTCGTTGAAACGCCAATGCAATGAAAAGTCATACAAAGGCGCACAAGTTAACGTAAATAATTAACTCTTAATTGAGTCACGCTGAATAAACAAAAACAGCTTCCAGTTAATAGCCAACGGAAAACGAATTGAAAACAAGTGAAGCCAGAACATTAAAGTTAAAAGTTAAAACTCAAACGCATTTTAATTTAAATCGGTTTAGAAATATATGTTCTTTTATTTTTTGATATGAAAATAGACATAAAAAATGTATTCAATACAATAAACGGTACACAGTTACGCGGTTTTTTAACGTATAACAAAAATAAACAAAATCGTCTAGTATTGTGGCGAATGTCGTATTAATCGCATCACTGCGAACGGCCGATTAAAATTGAATTTTTCAACGTTTTGTCCGGGGACGTCTGGATGTTCGTGTAGATTAACTTCGTAAAGTTTCTGCAACGCGAATTTAAACCGGTCAAGTTATAATGGAATATAACGGCGATGCAAACAATTGGCTAATCAATCAAATTGAAAAGTTGAAAAAAAAAAAAAAAATTAAAATAACTTTTTAACTCGTCTTTTCGACCGATTTATGTACGCAGTCGATATTGTATTTCAGGACCCGCGCCGAAGTCGAACATTATAATATTCTGTGATCATTTCGTAATCAAGTAATCGCGCACATTGTCGCGGTCTATGTGATTAAACATCGCGATGAACAGCGTTTGTAATAGACCGGTATTATGTTGATTGCGATATGCGAAATCGATCGGTCGCCCTTTTCCTGTTATCCGACGACCCTATAGCGTATGGCGGAAAAACAATGGTTACCCGCATTAAAATACAATTGAATATCCCGTAAATTATAACGTAACAAGCCCGGACGGTGTGCCACTGTTGCAGGGGAGAAGTCGGGGATAAATAGGGTACACAGAGCGATTTACTTTATACCTGTAAGCAACGACAAACTATTGTCAACGGGTTCGGAGCGAAGTCCGTTGACGCACGTTTTGAAAGGCCGTAATATTTACGAATTTTTGTAAAAATTTTGATATTAAAACCCCTTAAAAAAAGACGACTTAAAGTGAATGTCCAGTTCAAATTTCAAGCATTTATGTTTAGTCCAACAATTTTATCAATAGAGTACCTATACCGAATAAGAATTACGTAAAAACCTCGCAAAATTAAAATGTCTATAAATAATAGCTCAATAATAGCCCAAATGGTTTGAAAACATTACTACGTCCAGAAATCGGAAACATAAATTGAAAATAATACATTTCATACATTTTCCGGGTTTTCTACATTGTTCCCGGTTTTTTCCAACTATTATGAAAACCGCTTGAAAAATCAAAAAAAAAAAATCAAAAAATAACCTCCCTAAAGTATCGAGTAAATAAAATTTCCATTCAGAAAAGACTACGCTACGCTTGATGTATCGGATGCAAGATTTCCGGTAGAAAAGTTGTCCGCGGAAAAAAAAAAATTAACATAACCCGGTGGCGGATTTCAGTGGCTAGTGACGAGGCAATCGCCTCCGTCTTGAATTTTATTTAAAAATATTTACTCGAATTTTACGCGTGAAGATCAAGAGGCGGGGATCCAGACATCCAGCGGTGTACGTTCGAACGTAAAAAATATGCGTAACACAATACTCGCAGCACGCGGGTCGCACAAAAGCGTTTCAAGCTCTTTTCAATAAATGCTTTTCTTCTTGAAGTTCCTATCGGTTCCGGGCATTAGTGTTCGTAAGAAATGTTCGTCTCTTTGTCGAACGCCGTACCCATACGGAACAATTCACTTGATGTTGCGCCAAACCAATCGCGGACGTTTAATACGACCAAATAATATCCTTATTTTTCGAACACTTCTTATCCCTTGAAACATTTTACTACAGTTGCAGCAGGCAATCCGTGTCTTCGGGCGTTACTCGTCGCGCGGTCCGGGTATTGTACAGTTTCCGAGATTCAATTGTTCGCAGTACAGTTCCCTACCCGCCACCCACCCCTCCCCCCCCGTCCGTTCGCGTTATTCGAACGGAAACTCGAGTTGGACATTACACGCGGTCTGTCCGCGGGATCGCACGACGGCGTTTTCGTTTTCGCGTCCGGGTTCGAGCTCCCCCCGCACACAACGAAATAAGGCAACGCGCAACGTATCTGAACGGTCCGATTTTTGTATCGGGTGAAAAATCGTGGCGATTAAATACCACGGCCGGAACGCATCCCTAATGGCACGTCCGCGGTTCGAACCCCCGAAGAGATTATAAATTATCGGCCGCCGCGTAAAAGACTCGCGGGGAAGTTCCTGTAACACGGCCGAAGTCGCCGGCGCTACGCGCAATAACTGTCGCGTATTTTATTTAAATATTTTTTTTTCCTCCGGCGATCGCCATTGTAGTCGTTTTTTTTTTTTTTATTATTATTATTATTATTATTTTCTATACCGGCGGTACCGCGCGCGTATTACGACGCCGACAGAAAATACGGCGCGGGAGAACGTCGCCCGCGGACAGACACCGGTCGACCGAAAAACGTATTTCGGCGCGAAGGTCGCCGCGAATATCCACGAGTAGGTATACGAATAATTCCGAGAGCGACTCTCTAATTTTCCCAATCTCCCACTAACTTTTTTCCTCCCGCGGTCCTCCGGTCCTCGCGTTCTCTCGTGTATGCGTAACGATACAAATATACATGGTGAACCGCGCGTTGTAAAATATAATACGACATCTCCTCCCACCCCCCTCCCAGTCCCTGTCGCCGTAATACAATAATAATAGAAACTTTTCTCTCTCTCTCTCTCTCTCTCTCCTATTATTGTAGTCCACCGTATTGTTATTATAATACGTTGCGCCGACGACCGGTCTTTCCTCGACGTTGGATTCGTAAAAGAAAAAAAAATAATAATAATAACGATTTTTTTCCCTTTAAAAAAATCGCTCTAAACGCCTTCTCGATAACACAATCGATTGACGACGACGACGTCAGCGCGCGGCCTCGTTAAAAATCCTATCCGCGTTATTTATTTTACGAGTGTAATATTATAAACGCAGAGACGTGATTGTTCGTACGGCCGAAAATTGTTATTGTAATCGTCCGGATCGATCTATATTCTGTGTGACGCGTCTTACCTCTAAAGGGTATAATTTTTTTATGCCCGTTGCACCGTCTCGTCCTTAAATTATTATAATAATAATATGCGATATAGTAGCTCCCCGCGGACCTGAAAATAGACATAAAAGGTCCCGGTAATCTTTTACGACGATGATAATATAAGGATGACTCTCCGATGTAGATTTTTCGCGGAAATATCGTATGGTTTAATATCCATCGTAATATATTACGTTTAAAAGAAGAAATAAAAAAAAAAAAATAAGGCCGATGCTGCTGTACGGCGCCGTTGTGGCGTGACACGGTTTCGGGAGATAAAATGGAATAGGGCCGATACGATATACCTATGTTGTATAGTGAATTGTAATGTTTATGCGACGATAACGACGACTGTTGACGAATTACGATTCTGAGCGAAATATTATCGATCGCATTTTTAGATGTTGAGTGGAGCGAAGAAGCTTACGTGGTTTTAAAACGATGTTTTTTTTTTTATCCGTGAACAACTTTTCCACCAGAAATATTGCTCCGATTTACAAATGTAGCACTTTTTCTAAAAGGAAATCTGACTGGGGGCGGTACTTGGGAGTGGTCATTTTTTGATTTTCCCAGGAGTTTCCCAGGAGAAATGGGGAAAACACGGGAAAACCGGGAGAACAGGAAAATACATATAATATTAAACAAATATTTGATATTAAAGAAAATGTTAAATACATACGTTGTATATTTTACCATAATATGGCATTATTACATGTTGTTGACAAAGCAACACTATCAACTGAACTCCGCTCAGAATCGTTTTCTCGGTAGCAATGGTTAATCGTTGCTTACAGATATACGTTCAATTTCCATCTATATATTACATTCCCAACTTCCCGTCTATAACAGTGGCTTGTTCATCGTGCTAAATCGACCGGATTTTTTTTCCCTCGTTTGCCGAGGTATTACTGAAGCAACACAAATTAGAATCGTTCAGTGTGTAATCAGCTTAAAACAAATTCCAAAACGATATTATTTACTCGAAACGGCGTAATCCATTCGGAAAATTTTACGGAAAATCAATCGACGATTAATTAGTACTTTTATCGAATTTCCAATTACGACGCGGCTCGAATACTTGTTCGCCGAATCAGTTGCACGGAAAACCCAAATTTTCAGCAAATTATAAAATCGCGATAACAACCAGAGAATTATTTTATGTATTTTTCAGGGCACCCGGAAGGGGGAGCCGGTGAGAGTCATGTCCCCCCCCCTATTTTAGTTAATATTAAATATTAATTGTTCGAATACTTGTAAGTTAACATTAAGTCTTATACTTTTGACTTTGTCCCCCTCCCACGACGGTTAATATTTCTGCGGGCGTCCTTATGCGTTGTATTCATTTTCAAATATTAATAATTAATGTCATAATAATTGTCATTATGTTCTGCCGGTCTTTCTTATACAACGTATGTATTCTAATTCGAATACATTCGTATTATTATTATTTTTTCTATCGATTTCTTCTGTTAATGTTATTTTAATTACCGCCGATATACTCAAAGTATAAGAGTTGGCACGTCATGTTTGTACGTTTAATTATTCTGTATACCCGTTTGAAAATGTCGATTTCGTTTAGGTTGGCATAATCTTACGGAACCTAATGTTTTTCTTCCACGATTTCGGAAACGTATACTTATCCCTAGAACTAAACATAAACCTAAAATCGTTAAAATTTGATTAAACCGATGAGATCGATAACCGATTTCATTTTATTTCATTATCTTTGTCTATAAACGCAATTTCCCTTCCCTGTGGCCACGATAATAATATCATGAACACAATTTTATATTTGTATTTGTTTATTTCGCATGACATTATATGAGTAACACATTTGTTCTTCTAGTTGTATAGTATAAATACAAAATAGTTTACGATTAATGATATGAACATACGTATATAAGACGTGTAGGAGAAACAATAACTGATATAGGGTATAGGTTTAGATATTGTAATTTTTTTGTTAATTTTATATTGATTATTATTATTTACTCGCCTCAATAATAATACAAATATCTCGAACAAGCATATTTCGAATTTCTATTTGAATTTTATATTTAATTTTGCCTACGGCGATCCGCTGGCCGTATTCGGCGCTGACCCACGGGGATATTTCCGACGGGTCAATCCGCTCTCGATAATAAGTGTTCTTTGAATGAATTATAATTTTGTTGGTTATTGTTAATAATTAATATTTGTATTTTGTCAATGAATCGGCACTATCGACAGACATTTTCCTCGGAACAATACAATACACAATACTCGGCCAAATTAGCGTTTTTTACACATGTTTTTTCATGATGCGTTTATCCATTCGTATACTCCTATATCGGATTCACGAATATATACCAAAAAAATTAGATAATTATAACATTTGCCGTGTGATAAAATTATCGTCTTTCTAAAATATTATACCTGTATATTATTATAACGTAGGTGCGGAATTCTCTGTTATTTATAAATTGCTTTTGTTTACCTACTGCGAAGTCATGCGTGTTGTGTGTGCGTACTGCCGTCGTGTAGGTACCCGTGTGTTAAAAAGTCGCAATGGCAAAACGTATTGGAAGTAATTGTACAAAATTGTATGACATTTACCGTAACTGACAAGTGTTAAAGGAAAATTGACAAGGAAAAATCCATACGAACACCGTCGAAAAATACTCCTTGTAAATTCAATTACAAGCTATTCAAGAGGGACTTATGCTTTGAAAAATTCCGACATTAAAACTATGAACGGTGAGTCAATTTTAATATTAAACGATTCGGAAAGTTTAGTTTTATTTTCGTGTTAAACAAATGTATCGTTCATAAATGAAGTTTACATCATTTTTATACGGATGAAACTTTTAAATATTGTCTACGATTTTTCGCACAAACGTTCACTATGTGTCCGTTTAATTACGGCCATTATATTCTTCTTATTTTTTGTCAACTGCCAAACAACTTAATGGAAACTTATACAATTACACTTAGATATATTTTTAGTAAATAAAATTAATTATTTCATCCAAAATTTGTAACGGTCGCTTTTAAGATATTAATACTGTAATAGATAACAATAACGAAGCTGTAGTAGACGTGTGGCCAAATTAAAAAACAAACGGGCATACTTCGCGCGATAGGCGAGCCACTGTTGTAGGTGAGAAGTTGGGAAGGTAGAGGGAAAATTTAATGTGACGATTAGCCATTGCTAATGAAAAACGATTCTGAGCAGAGTTCGGTTACACGTGTTTTGAAAGGCCGTAATATAATGTTTGGTTTGGCCGAAAACGATTTTCCCCCGTTTTATTTTCCGGCAAACGAGTATACACGGAGGAAATTGGTGTTAATTTATTTCCGAAACGCGCGTTTGATTCGATCGTAATGTTTATTTTTTTTTTTTTTTTTTTTTTTGTACACAAAGAAAACTTGCCTACATATAACTAATAAAAAACGATCATTATAAATACGAAATTATTGAAATCGAAACGGGATAATAAATTATAATATGTTCGATGTCGTGTACGTAATAATAGTTGCCATATGGAGTGTATATTATATTGGCTTATTTCCCGGTTTTAATACGCACGATGTTCATTTGCCCTCGAAAAAATTAACTAAGTACATATTATAATAATATACATTTATTGGTCATATATTAAACAAAATTTCGACCGTTGGAAATTACATTATTTTCGAAGCAAATAGTCATTTCGTATTCCAACCTTGAAAACTATATGTATTAAAAAAAAAATAACCATTTTAACAGCTCCGAAAAAAAAAAAAAAACAAACACGTGGATATTATTATAACCGAATGCGACCGCGTCATTGTACAACCGTATTATACGATTTATTATTCTCGTTTTAACCGCTATCATAACTCGGCACTCTTTATCTGTACGTGGGATCTAGAAAAAAAAAAAAAAAAAAAAAAATGGTTTTACAAGTCCATTTTCGCCAAGAAATGTTAATAATATTCCCGTTGTATTTGGTTCGTTCGCGCGGTATAAACGAACAAAATTCACAAGTACATACACAATAAAAATTATAACTACTTTCTCCCAATACATTATGTACGCTCAGAATCCAAAGTGTAGATATAATATTATATTTTGTAAGTACACAGTAAGTATACATTGTCTAGCGTAATAATATTGTAACACATAGGTACATAATATTATGTATTTTTAACGAGTTAATATGTGTTCCCGTTTTAAATATACAGAGCGATACATTCATCACAATGCCGCGGTTTTTTTCTGCAGGATTTTCAGGCGAATCCGATTCGTGTTTTTATACGGTTCTGGACGAAACGAGGAACGCGCCGTGATGATTTTTCTTTTTCCGCGACTGTAAATCACAGACATTTTGCTCCAATCAAAAATCTAATAATACGGACTCTCTTGCGTACAGCGTTGTTGATCTAGTCGATCTCAATTGATAGCGAAAACTGTCAATTTTTTGTAAAATTGTTGTCGGTTTCTGGGTTTCTATTGGTTCTAACGAGAGAAAAATACGACTAAAAATATTCTGTTTTTTTTTTTTTTTTTAGCAATGGTTAATTTGTTGCGTTAAATTATTGTATACACCCTCCCTTCCGGCTTTCCAACTTAAACAGTGCACACTCATCACAATTTTTTTCAAAAAAATTATCCGGGACCTTTATTTCAACACTATTTTCAAATTATTGTCCCTATAACTTATACTTTAAATGAATATAGATACTTTTGATTTTCGAATAGGAAGCCCAGTTTCTTTCTTAAATCTTCGATGTACAATTAAATCACGAACAACTAAGTCACGGACTAAACTGCTATTGCTAAAAATATTATAATTTTGATTTCATTCAGTTTTATTCCATTTTAATTATTTTTTAATCGATCGGAGGATGGCGCAAATTTTATAACCGTCCAAAACATTAATTTTGAAATGGAACATTGAACGGTAAACGATGTAATATTTTATTGAATTTTTGAATAACTTTTGACACAGATTTATATTTATAATAAAACTAAATATTGTCGGGCAAACGCATCGGGCCCATACAGAACACTATTATCGGACGTAACGTTTACGAGTTACATAACAGTTTAAAGTTTACACCGTCAAGGATGTTATCGATATTTTTAAATTTGTCATGGAAAAAAAAAATAATAAATAAATAAATAGATAATGTAAAATGCGCAGAAATCGAATACACGCGAAATCCTCCGAAAAAAATCTCTAATTCGTTATAAATTTATCACCCTGTATATAAGTATTGCAATAATAATTATGTTGTAAGAATATTTTGAAAATGTTGTTTTTTTTTTCGCGGTAAATAGAAAGTAGGTACATTAATAATTAGGCGTGTTGTTATTTTTGCGTTTTCTGTGAAAATTAAAAAACATAAATTTCGAACACTATCGATTGGTATATGATTGAAAAGTAATTTCAATGCCGTTCGGTTTTATTTTTATTTTTTTCCGTATAATGTACACCCGTTCTTCTCACGGGTCGTTATCGCGAGTCGTCGATGCCAAACGAAAAAATTAAATAATTTTAATTTCGTCTGTCAGTGTATTATTACAACATATTTTCCAGGTAAAAATACGAGTTGTAGTAAAAAATAAAAAAAATAACCGATACTGCAGACGGGTTGCAGGTGGAAAGTTGAGTGGATAGATTATGTCGTTCGATCTATGTCCGTGAACAATGATAAATCGCTATGAAATACGATTCTGAGCTCAAATTTTTTTTTAAAAAAGAACACACATATCTATAGTCAAATCTCCGCTGCTGCGTTCAGGATTGAAAACCGAGCGGGAGAATCATATAGTTTTAGAGTTAAAATACTTTTTACGAAATCAATGGAAACTAATTGCACGAGACATTTTATCGGGGCGGAAAATAATAGTTGTAAAAAAAAAAAAAAAAAAAAAAATGTACAATGCGGTTTTTCTCACCCCTTCGCGATAGCTATTGTTGAAGACTTAGGGAATAAAATTGTTATTGTACAACTCCGACCGGCCGGTCGTCTCGAAAATCTCGTTGTCTACATAATATTTCTTTGTGAAAAAACACGTTTTGTCGCTGTAACGTCGCTCCGAGCGGTAACTCCGTTTAGCGCGAACGCGTTTTTGAAAATATCGAGCGGACTCGATCGTCGCCGCGAGTCGATAAAATAACGTCCGTTTCGCCGAACTTTAGATTTACATTTAAATTGCCTATACGAAACCCCGTAAATATCGCACCGACGGATTTTATGTTAAAAACAAAAAAAAAAAAGGGGTGGGGAGTGGAAATTAACGATCGAAACGCGCATAACAGAACTATAATAACTCCTCCGGAATTCCACGCCACGGCGCAAATATTCATTTTTTTTTTTTTGTTCCCCCAGGGCGAAAATCTACGAACAAACGCACCCTCGTCCACCACACCTTTTTTTTTTTTTTTTTACCCATATAAATGCGTTTATGCTGTTTTGAAATATTTTTTCGGAATTTCGTGGCACCGTAATGGTTCTCTAACCATACTGGGTGTTCGATTCCACACGCGATAGGCATACGCATTGTTCTACAGACATCCGAGTTCAACGTGATGAAATGTATAATGGAAAATTAATAATGTTCAATAATATTATGTGACCGTGAAATTATGAAATTGAGATTTGATTTTTTTTTTCATACATTTTCCGTTTTACAATTAGATTCCAATTCACTCGTAATAAAACCGCGCCTTAGAAAAAAACTTACGGTGAAATTAACGAAATAGCGATATGACGGCGTAATGAAAAAAAAAAAAAAAAACCCACGACCATGGTATTTGACCTAATAATACATTTAATTATTGTTTGCGGAAAATAATTGCCACACGGGCGCGACTTGTCGATTTTTTTTCCTCTTCCTCAGGAACATGTTTTTAGTTGAGTTTTTAAAAATGTTATATAACTTATAGTGTGTATAATAAAACGAAAATTTCCCCGGCACCCTCACATACGATTTTCGCAAATTCTTTCTTTGCTAAAATGTAGTACGCAATTCGTACGAATTTGTATGCCCGTTTCCGAAATTTGTACGACCTCCCCTTCTGATCCAAATAACGATCTATGCATTAAAATAAATTTCAAAATACAATAAATTTATTTATATTCAACACGAGTTATTTAATATGTATCTCTTTTCGATATTTAAAACTTAATTTATACCACCTACAAATATAAAACAAAAAATACCAATATAAATGAATAATAATAAAAAAAAAAATTGGCAAAATCGTATGCGAATCGTCTCGAAATTGTATTAAAGCCGCTTGGAAAATCAAACGAATGACCTATTCAATACGCCGATTAGACAAAAAAAAAAAAACGTTACAAAAAAAGCTCGCTTGTCCTTTTTTTTGATCGAACCATGCTTTTCGGTAGAAATATTGTTAAATGACAGACTACATTAAATGTTGCGAACAAATTAAACGCACATTATAGTAAAATCGATAGTACGGCCAATTATTTTTGGTCGCGCTCAGAACTCGAGATTTCTCGAAAATTTCAAGTAATTACCAATACTCAAATAATTCAACGGACGTCTGAACATACGACCGCGCGTCTAGAAAACGCCGAAAACCCAAACGCTCGGCGAAAACTTCAGACCGCTACGGTTATTTTCCCGTTTGAATTCTAAACAAGAAAAACAAATGCGAGTTTGAACAGCGAAACCCGTTGGATTGCGGTGAACGGAGGAGAAATCAGAGGCACACTTCGTAATAGCCCCGTTCTTTCCCCCCTTCCCCCCCACCCGGTTTACCGCCAATATATTTAGATAACCCGCCCCATAATGTTCGCCGACTGCGCGTTCACACCAGAAACCGCACCTTCCCCCCTCTCCCCCCCCCCGATAAGCCCGCGGTCGGGACGAGTCTTCCGGACGCGAAAAGCTGTTTGCGGACGGAAAACAAAGCGGCACAATACGATGTACAGCATAGTAAAACCGTCGTATTGATATCAATTTTATACCCGACGAAACAAAAAATTGTTTTTTCGGCGCTCGCGTCTATCGCGGCTGTCAATACAGGGATTTCGTCCTCGGCGACGGACGTTGCAGTGCAACACTAAGATGTCTGCGTGCCGATATTGTAAACACACTAATACCGCTGAAACGAAATGAACTTTTATCGTTTATCGTTATGAACACGTTCCCCGCGTTCCGTTCGGAACGCGATACCGCAATACCGTTCGTATCGACTCATGCGCGAGACGTGTCGATTTCAAGTCGATTCGATTTTCGTTTTTTTTTTTTTTTGTCTGCGACCGTTTTTCGCCCGAACCGTTTTGTGCTTTATTGTTTCAACGCTGTACATGCGATATGCGCAACACCACTATCGTCGTCTCCTACTGTCCATACGCCTGAAACGTGTGCGCACAAAACGTCCAACGGGATAGGACGTGGCCGATTAGAATCGTAAACGGATCGTCCTGTCCGCCCGAATCGGGAATTGCAAAATTTAAAAGCCGCGGATCCTAAAAGAAGCCGATTTCTAATCGATACACGTCAAGCTTTTCATCGTAAGTCGGCTGAAATTATACGCGTTCCGGTTGTTGAATAGCCTATAATTGTTTTGGAGTTTCGGGCCGATGGCGGGGATATAAACCCTAATCTCCCGCCCCACCCCTCGACCAAAACCGCGACCGAGAAAATCGCCTGTTCCCGCGATAAACGGATCACGCCACGTCGAAACCGAGTTATAGCAAAAACATTACGAAAACGTGTAATTATTTCGTACCGCGTAGAAATAGGAAAACATTGATTTTACTGCGGACTTGTTTACCCGCGCTGCATTCGACGACGATAAAAAAAAAAATATTATAATTATCGAATTCCGCGAAAAACCGCCGCAACGCTGTAATATAGATGATTTTTTTTTTTTTTATTATTATTATTATTATTCGTTTTATGCAATGCGATTTCGATTTTGTGACTCACGCCGAAAAAACCGTGCGGTTTATTTGTTCGGCTTGTTATTTACGATTACAACTATAATTCACAATCGCCGTTTCGGTACAGGGTCCAGGGTTGTATGGAACGTATTATAAATCTAGCGACGGTGATGTTTATACGCCGTAAAAGTGCGCCTAAACGTTTATCGAGATAAAATACTTGTTAAACGGTAATAAAAAATTGTTTAAAAAAAACACCGAACTGCGACCGCGGTGCTTACGCACCTATCTAGGTTTTTGTATTTTTACCGGAAGATCGAAAAAAATAAAAAAAAATAATAAATAATAATTCGATAGAACGCTCACGTTTACAGTATATAATTAACGGATTTATAATAATAATAATAATAATAATAATAAAAAACAACTGCAAAACCAAACGTTTTCGGAAGCGCTAATGTCGATAACAATCGAATTTTATCGAATTGCGAGATTACGCGAGCCCGTTGTAGTTTGAGCGACGCGATACTACCGACGCGAGTGCCACAATCGTGGGCGGAGGGGGAGGGGGATGATAATAATAATAAGGTACATAAGAGTTATTTGTTTTGTATTGGCAACGGCAACGGAGTGCGATTCTGAGCGAAGTTTAGTATGCGTTTGAATATTTCTTCTATAGTTTTTAAACAGAAACCGCGTGCATACAAATATTCCTCCCGCGGCGGCGCGCGTAACGTCGTCGGGCTTCAAGTGTCGAGTTTTTAAATTAAAAACATACACGTAGTGTCGAAAATATTATTTAACTTATCGACGAAATTAGGACGGTTAGACAACGATAACGCACATCAGTATATTGATATTTGTCAAGGTTCGTTTTTTACATAGATAACGCCGGTTTTTTTTTTTTTTTTTTTCGTTACTAATCGCGTACTTTGTTATTGCGTTTTACATACGCAATTCGTACAATGCGCGCGGACCGTACGTACACGCATTGTGTTTCTAGAGTTTCCTTAAACAAACACAACCATATTTCAATTTGTAATTCGAACGGTTTTCGAATAAAAAAAATATCCGTTTAATCGGAATAACGATGATTAGTCGAAACGAAATGTGTGTTTGGCAAAAAAAAAAAAAAAAACATTAACCACTTATATTAATTAGGTTATTATATTACCTGCGGCTCTCACACTCGTTTATTTTCGTTTTTTTTTTTATCACATTTTTAGTAAGGCGACAATTAAAACGGGGGAGGGGGGGTAGGCGGTTTGTCGTTTTTACATTTTTATTATTATTATAATTATTTTTTTTTCTTTCTTCGCGATACAGTTATGAACACGTTCGTTTACGTCCGCAGCGACGCGTATAATACCGCGTTTAATTATTTCTTACGACGAATTACAAAAAAAAAAAAAAAAAAAAGAACTAAATAAAATAAATACCTACACTATTTTTTTATCCGCCCACGCACGGCGTGTAACATTGATGCATGACACACGGAACGTGATTTTTACCGAGAAGGCGGTACCCCGCGATAATTTATAAAATAATAATTTAACGACACCGCGCGTACCTGTTTCGCGCGTACTTGAGGTCTTTCGTTTTTATTGAAAATCGGATCGGCGTGCGCGTACGCCGTTTACGTTTTGCAGCGAACGTCGGAGAAATAGACAAAAAAAAAAAAAAAAACCATAAACATTATGAGGCGGCGCGCAATACTACATAACGTCCGCGCGTTACGTAAAAAACTGTACACGTATCGTTCACGCGCTACTGTTAAAGGTTATTCGGCGAGCGTCGAGGCGGGGCGAAAACGTCGTCTCGCCCAAACGGAATACCGCGGAGCCGGCCGTTTTCCGGAAACCGAATGCGGCGGCGAATCCCCCGAACGAACGCGGTGCACGGGACACGCGATTATGATTTTTTTCGTCGTTGCAGCCGGTAAAAAAAAAAAAAAAAAAACTGGCCCCGGCGCGCTCGCGCCGCGCACCCCGCGGGTCGCCGACCGTCCTGCGCGTCGGACGGGACGCGCGACGGTCTCGATTATTGTCCGACGTCCGAAGAGCCTCCGATCTCCGTTGCGGGACGACCCCGGCGCGCGACGTAAAACACTGTCCTGGTTTCACCGTTGCCGCGATGTCGTTCGAAACGTTTTCCGTCGGAAATCTCGCTCAACTCGGAATCTGTTCGGCAAAGCGAATTTCGACCGACACCAAACGGCGCGTGTCCGGACGGGACATTTTCGCGATTTTCCTTGCGGTTTTTTTTTTTTTTTTTTTCTAACGATTAACGACGACCGAGAAAAACGAAAACATTAACACCCCCCCAATAAACGGTGGCTGTTACTATTATTAAATTTGTCATTCGGTTAGAGATGACGGTGTCAGTGATCCGAAACGACCGCCTTGAAAGTATTCGAGTTGTTATAATAGCCGTTTAAAACGTTCGAATTTGTCAATTTTATTTTCGGTTTCGCGCGGATACGATCACGGCATGTCGTAAAACGAGCGGATTTTTATTACGTTTTTTTTTTTTTTAAATCTACTTTTACGGAAATCGTAAAAACCGCGGCGTTTCCAGACCGCGGGCTCAACCAGACTCGGCTCGCGACGGTTTTCCGCTGGCAAGCGCGTCCGGAACCGTGCCCACACTATCCGACGGTCGCGCGCACGTTTTCGATCGCATTTTTCCGCGTCTCGTCCGGCGCCCGTACCGGTGGCGGACGGTCGGTTCGCGGGTATTGCGCGTGTTTGCGCGAACACTACCGGTCCGAACGCCGCGCCGGGCGCGGAGCGTTTTCGTTTTTTTTTTTTTATTTCCTATCCCCGGGCGTGAGAGGCCCCCGCTCGGCCCCGGCGCCGCGACGGTTTACCGCGGTCGGTACGGCGCGGCGATGCGGATCGACGACCGCTTGTCCCGTGCCCCGCGCCACGCGCTCGCCGCCCCGGTTTCCCGGCGCGCCGAAACACTCGTCGGGCCGTCCCGCGTCGCGTTTCGTCGCGTACGCGCGGCAATCGCGGTGTCGCGTTCGTCCGTCCGAAATCCGTCCGTCGAACGGAAACGTCGTTGGCGCGCGCACGTTTACGATTTCGAATATCGCGCGGCCGCCTCGCGTTGTTTCGAGCATTGCGTAATACGCGCGTTCGCGTTCCGAAGGTCACGCGCGTCGCGTCGTCGCCGTTTGTCGAAAACTGTCGGCGTACCGTAACGCGATAAATCAGATGCAAATAATCCGATAATCTCCGGTCCCGCGTGTTTTCGTTTGTTGCGTTTCCCCTAACCTCCCCCCCGCCCCCCGCCCCCCGCCCGCCCGCGCGTGTGCAATCGCTTGAAAATATAAACGCAACGGCTGTAACGGGCGACGGTAAAAGTGCGCGCGCTTGTGTCGCGCGTATTTGGCGGGGGGGGGTGGGGGCGGAGAGAGAGGAGACCGTCGTAAACGAAAATCGATTCTGAGCGATTACGCGTTACACAGCGATTGTTCGAGACGTTGTTCGGCCGTAGATTTTAATACGGAAACGACCGTGTTCGTTCGTGACCGAACGGAATGCGCGCGTTGCGCGTACGCGGCGGACTGTGTGGCGCAGTGCGTTTTCGAACATGAAAACGCCCAAGAAAATAAACAGCATTGGTTTTAACCCCTCGAAAAACTCGACGGTTTCTCAATTGTACGCACCTACGGAAAACGCCGGGGCGTGTTTTTCAAATCGCATCGCGCGTCTAGAATGTGCGAACATTATGATTCGGCAACGGAGGTCTCGGTCATTTCAGGACTCTACGGTTATCGCTCGCCGCAAATCACAACAAACGGAACGAAAATCGCGATATTTTAGATTCCGAGTGGAGCGAAGAAGCTTATGGTTTTACAAAGATGTTTATGTTTTTTTTACTTTTATCTGTGCACGACTTTTCAAACCGGAAGACTTGCTCAGATTTTCAAGTGTAGCGCCTTTTCTGAAAGGAAATCGGTGTGGTGAGGTATTTTGACGATGTCATTTTTCGATTTTCTCAGGAGTTTTCTCATCTAATTTGTAAAACCGAAAAAAAAAAAAAAACAAAGGGAAAACGGGAAAAAATAAGAAATGTAGGTATCAGTTGAAATATATTACGGCCTTCATTTTTTCCGTGCACAAATTTTCTAACGGAAGTTTAAAGTATATCTGTACGCAACGATTAATTATTACTAATGAAAAACGATTCTGAACGGAGTTCAGTCAATAGTGTTGCTCTGTCAGCAGTTTATTGTACGTCACATTATGATAAAACACAATTACAATATGCAATATATATTTTCTTTAATAAAATTTGTTTAATATTGTATCTATTTTCCCGGTTTTTTCCATGTATTTGAAAAACTCCCGGGAAAATCGAAAAAATACCTCCTTAAAGTACCGCCCAAGGAAAATTCCCTTTCGGACGAATCGCTATAATCTCATACTTCGGAGAAAAGTTGTCCACAGAAAAAACAAATGAATAATAATTGTAAACGTCTTCTGTAAAACCCATGCGTTCTTCGCTGCACTCAGAATCCATAACGACGAATTCGTGAACGCACACACGTCAAACTGAATTCCTAACCAGAAATCGCCGCTGCCTCCCTGACGTAGACGACCGGAGTAGAATATTTCTGGTCGAAAAGACCAAATAAAACAGAAAATATCAATTATATTGACAATGTGTTATTATTGTAACGACGGTGTCTCCCGAGTGACGACTCACTGTTGTGTACACACTCCCGTGGCGATATTGAATGCGACCGCTAAACGGAAACGCGGACGTAAACATGTAGGGGGGAGGGGGAGGATAAAACTGTTTTCGTCGATACGGTATTATGTTGTGTCGCGGTGAAAAACGAAAGTTTAGCGAAATAAAAACATTTCTGTCGAACACTTTTTCCCTATATTATGAGCCGAATGATTTTCGATTTTTTTCGTCGGGGCTTTTGGTCCCTCGCCCCCCTCCCCCCGGCCCGGCCCGTACCGTCGCATAATACGTTTGCGGCGCGTATTCGTTTTTAGACAGTGGGGAAAAAAAAAACCGAAACGATTCAAAGAAAGCCCGGCGCGGTTTCTCAGACCGTGCGGGCGGTGTGAGTGTAGGGGACGTCGAGCTCGTTATATTTAATTTAATTTCAACTCTCCCCTCGGTTTGGCGCGACGCCGGAGCTTATTGGGGAAAAAAAAAAAAAAACCGACGGCGCTGCGGCGGCGGGACTCAGACCGCCGCCTCCGTCGTTTTATATTATTATTATTATTATTCCGTTTGCTTTGTACGTTCCGTGTACGAGGTACGGAAACACGCCGGTCGACAGTGAAAAACGATTTCGTTATTTTTCCGGGCGCGATATAACGTCAATTTCATCGGCAACGGCGGTCACACCGGATCCGCGAAAAAAAAAAAAAAAAAAAAAACAGCAAGTATATCGAAAACCGAGTATAATTCTTCGCGACCTCCGCGAGTGATAGCTGTTGCAATGCGCGCGACGAGTCGTTTTTTTTTTTTATCAATAAAGGTCGTCGCAAAAAGTGGGCGGCCGTGTTATTGCGTCACCGGCAACAATAAACCGCGTAGAAATTAATGAATACATTGTTGTTTTTTTTCGTGTATACGAATCCACGGAAATCCGTTTCATATACCGGCTGGCTGTCACGCGAGAAAACGAACCCTAAATGCGGCATCGCCAAGAGGCGTCTGTCAAGAAAAAAAAAAAAAAACCGGTACCCTAAAGCGTCAGTATTTAATTACGAAAAGTAAGTTCAAGAGTATAAGCGCGGGAAAAGTTAAAATTAAAAAAAAAAAACAAAACCCCGCCAGTCAGCATCAAAACTCCGTTACTGCAATTGAATTTTCCCCCAGGCCGACCGGCCACCGACGCGCCGTTACGATATTTAATTTTTGTTTTAAATGTTTTAATGAAAACAATCCGAAATACTTACGGTCGTCGGAGTTTTATTGCATTCGAGTCTATAGGGCTGGTCGTACTCCGCGGTATTTACAGTGATATTATGAAATTTGACAATATAATAATCGTTCGGGAAGGGAGGGGGGGGGGCGGTTGATAATATTGAAACTCCAAAAAAGCGCATCCTCGCAACGTGAATACGTATATAACATATTATCGTACTCTTGCAGAATTTTTTTCGGGGTCTATAGTGGTATGCAGAGCAAAAGAAACCTTCATCTTCACGCAAAACCATGACGAAATCGATATTGAAATTATACCGAAATGTTATCATTTTAATTTGTCTAAAAAAAAAACCCGAGTTCGAACTTATTTCGTCCAGAAGAATTCGCTAAACGTGTCCAAAAGTAACGGAAAAAGATATCAATAAAACTGCGGCTCGGCAATACACTCAGCTATTGGCAATGTCAACAAATAGAAAATGTTTCACAATAGTTATATAGTTTCAAATTTTAATCTTTTTAATCGAATTTTTAAAAATATTTTTTTGACATTGGCCTTTTATTTCGCCAATTCGTCAAGCAATGTCTCCGTGTTCGAGGAAAATTCGACAATAATCACCAAAACTTTCTCCGCCGAATCCCAGCGTCGCTTTTTATCCCCCAATGAACTCTTCGGACTTGTCAAAAACCCTGGAGCACCTCAAACTTCGAGAAATCCGAACAGTTCGAAACGGGATACCGATATTATTAAAACAATCGAACACTATTCAATAGCCTGCACCTTTCGAACCGTTCGACGGAAAATCCAGATCGATAATCCACACTTGTATTTATTTTTTTAGTTTAAATCGTGAAAAGAGGTAGACACAAGTTTCGATATTTAAATTCAAAAATTAAAAAAAAAAATGGTATACGTATACACTATACAGAGTCGTTTACATTGTTTGTTACAATTAATTTTGCCATATTATTACATATTTTTGTTTAAAAATGACCTATTCAAATATATTTTTGATATCTCTATTCTAAAATGTTATATTGCTCTTGTTAATGTTATTTTACTCGTATTTTTGAGAGAGAAATCACTGTCGCATATCGATTTTCAAACGGCAAACTACTCGTATATATAGAAAATTCCGTACACTGTACTGATGAAGCTTTCGTTTAAATAAATTTTGGCGTTAAAATTTTTAATTTCTGTTTACCGATTTGAAGTATTATGTGTATATTTTGCGTGGTTTTGCTACGTTCGACATTAATATTATGCGTTTTTGTTTAATACTGATATTTTCTTTTTTTTTTTCTAACAGAAATAGACCGATATTCCTTTAATCGGTCCGATCGATGTTGTGAAGCGATAAGAATTATTTTGAACACATTATATTTGAATTCAGCGTTTAAGGAACGATGTTATTCAGGTCGATTCTTTTTTTTTTTTTTTTTTTGAATTTCAATGATTTCACGATTTGAAAATGTATTCAAATATATGTAGGAAAAAAAAAAAATCGAAAGTTAAATCGAAAAAGTTGCCCGACTGATCTTGTATACACTTCGCGCAGAATTCTTATCGGACTGATTGAATGGAAATTGGTGTAAATCGCTGTAAGCGTATACACCAGTCAAGGAAAAGAAAAAAAATGTCGGTCGCCCTTTAATTACGTTAAAAGTTGGAAACTATTCGGGAAAAAGCCGAAAGAGAAAGTTTGTCGCTCGAGTTCAAGTGCTTGTGAAAATCGAAGTTCAACCCCACGACTATATTATAGTGTTCGTACATAATAAATGTACGGAGTTATTATTCCGAATATGGTTCACGAATAATCATTTTGTCGTAATATCAGTGGCGTTTGACTTTTCGAAAGGGGAGGATTAATAAATAACGACGCCGAGGGAAAAGAGGAAAAGCGGTAGCCGTCCTCAAAAGCAAATTTTCGTCATTATCGCGCACCCGTCAGATATTTCGGCAGTGCTATTTATTATTATTATTATTATTATTTTTTTTTTTTTTGCGATAATTATACGTTTTCATTATTAATTGATTTGTTTCAATCAACGCCGAAAGCACAATTAGAACACAAACACAAATAGGACAGGGGAATGGGTCGTATGGGGAGAGGGGAACGTCGACCCTAAACATGATCGTCCAGGGGCGCTGTATTCGAGTTCCGGACGACCGAACCGTATTCCCGGATGCGGGGCGTACGCAGTAGAGGGATTTGAGACGAGCGAAGAGGTGAAAACCGCGGGTGATACGGTTGACGGAGCCGGGTAAACTCGAGGGACTTGCAGAAGGACTGTTGGACATACAACAACGGTCGAAAATTGCCGGAGAGCGCAGTAACACCAATATCACGGACGGAGTTACCGACGAATTTAATGGGAACGTCATTAACGGAGTACGAGGTCACAGAGAATTGCAGGTGAGAAAAATCGTCGCCGAGCATTACGGACGCGTTAAAAGACAGGCCGTGATGAGATATATTTTCGAAAGCGGCCAATCGGTTGAGGTAAGCCCGTGAGCCAGTGGAGGACAGTCAGAGTGGGAGTTAATGCGGCTGAATAACTCCGTGACGTCGTCAACTGCTGGGCATATCGGAGACCAGAGGACATGCCTATAATAGGGGCTGGATTCCGAGATAAAAATATAGACGGCGAAATTTCGAAGTTTTGTGTAGCGGACAGACGCACATACTGCGGGGCACGAATAGAATATAGTGATTTCGAAACGGCTAACGCGATACCGCAGCGTCTACCGTGCGTAATGTTACCGGCCAGTGTACATCGGCGTTGTACATAATTAATGGCGTTATCGTTTTGGCGGTCATCCCGAGTGTACGCGTAGGTGATAATGAAACCCGCGCGCAATAGAGAAAGACGTTCTCGGGCGAAAAAGAGATGGAGGAAAAAAAAAAAAACCAACCGTACCTGGGTGTATGTTACGTGTACCGCGTCCGCCGCCGTCGACCCGATCACGAATTTGGTACACCGGCGGCGCGAAGGCTGCGCGGGCGAATATTAAAAAAAAAAAAAAAGGCAATACGTTTTCGACGTCGTCCTCGGACCGGTTTTGGCGGTCGTTTATTTTCGTTTGTTTCTCCGGCGCGCGCGCTCGCTCGCTCGCGGACAATAATAATTATTATTAACGCCAGCCAAGGTGAGTCGGTGGCGAGCGCGACGGCGGCGGCAGCGGCGACGACGACCACGGCGCATCGGTCCCCACCTCCCCCCCCCGACGACGGGCGGCGGCGCGGCGCGGCGGGGTATCGGGGGTAGGGGGTGGGGAAGGGGAAGGGGAGTGGGAGGGGGAGGGGGGCGGCGGCGGAGAGCGTGCCGCCCGCGGACGAACGGGCGTAGCACGAAAATACGAGTAGTTGCGCGCGCGTGTCGTCGGAAAAAAGCGTAATATTTTTTGTGAAAGTGTTAGCTCATGCGAATACGCGTTTTCAAGGTCGATGGGCGTACAATAATAATATTAAATGAGTAAAAACAATAATCGTAAAAAAAAAAAAATAATAAAAAAAATACCGACCCGTAACCGTTGACGCCGCAGTACGCGTACGGGTACGTACGTACGTAGGTAGGTAGGTAGGTAGGTACTTCCTATCAATCGACGTACGAGCGGCCGTGGGTGTGGCGGGGGGGGAGGGGAGGGAGAGGTCGAAATAATCACGCCGACCGAACTATGGAAACGGCCAGAAATCGACGGAAAAAGAAAAAAAAAAAAGGAACGGACATACGTCGCGCGCGGGTGCAGCCGCCGTTGTAGGTGGGAAGTTCGGAACGTAGGATACTGCTTAGGATACGACAATTGACCGTTACCGACGACAAAACGATTCTGAGCGGAGTTCAGTAGATAATGTTGTTTTGACAAAAATACCATTGTATTGTGGTACATGTATGGGGCGAACGGGTGTCCGAAAAAAGGTACGTTTCAAAATTTAGGTCCTGCATTATAAAAAAAAACCCTCCCTTGACTTGGCCAATGTGTATAATATTCTACCCGTTTTGCACATTGCTCATTTTCATCTGTATACATTTTTTTTTTTTTACCTGATCCGATTACTCTATTATTATTTTTTCTATTATCAACTATAAAGACTAGGTAAAACTATATGTTAACAGGCGGTTATAGGATGTTAACAACGTTTCGCTTTTCGTCAAACAGCGGTTCTCCGGCTGTCGCTACCGTTGTCGGTCGCTTGCACACCGAGGTTCTCCTCGTTGTCTCGAATATTAATGGGAATTTCAAAAATTGTTCTCTGTAAAGCATCGGCCAGAGAAAAGTTCGTTTCAGAAAAAGTGCTGTGCGCTCGATAATCGGAGCATCCTTTCCGGTAGAAAAAGCGTTCGTATAAAGACAACAATAATAATAAACGTCATTGTAAAACCAATGTATTCCTCGTCTACTCAGAATCTAAAATACGGTACGAGAGTGAAATAATATTTATTTTTTTAGACGGACAGATAAATTTATTATTATTGTTTCGTAATAATTACAATTTAACAAAATAATAAAAAATAAAAGCGAAAAAATCAGCCTCCAAGAGCAGCTGAGCTTGTGCGGAGACGAGAGTCCATAATGTTTCTTAAATGTATATGTAAATGTAAACGTTTTCACCGTTTACAAATTTAAAAACAGATAAAGATGAAAATTAAAATTAAAACGATGTGGTATTAAATGTACACGTTAAAAACAAAGCGCGCGTCAAGTATCCTTATGAATTCTTATTTACGATGATTTTACACAAAAAAGTCAATAAAACTAATTAACTAGTTACTAATCAAATTCGATACACAGTCGCATTATAAATAACGTGTTTCTTACGCTTGTAAAGTCATTACAAAACTGTTCGTGTTAATACGAAAAAAAAAAAAAAATTACAATAATATAAACTGGATACAATAGGGATTCCGTTTGCCGAACTCACAATTACATTTAAACATTCTAAAAGTGTTGTTTACAATTTGCCGCGCACCATAAATACGCTCGAGGCTCGACTCTTTATAATTATAAGAGTACAGGTTGCACGAAACTTCTTTCATAACAAAGTCGTTGAAGTCTGAGTGAATTATAATAAATCGATCGCGGCGCGCGGATGTGCATTAAATCGTCTTCTATACCCTAGTACCGTAATAAAAATTGCGTTCTCAGTTTATATTGCAGTTTTCAGTTTACAGATTTCAATTAACCGTGTACAGTTTTGAAATGCTCGTGTTAAAAAAAAAAAAAAAAAATTAAATATTAAATATTTGCACTGCGTGCGCACGCTGTATTATCGTATTTTACATTTTGTTTGCGAACTTGTAATAATTAATAATTTACGCTTCAAAATCACAAAGTACGACGAAAAAACGCGATAAAAATGTTAATTTCACTCTGCATGTTTCGTAAGTTTTTCTCGTATATTTTAACAGTGATAAGTGCACAGAAAATCCGGTCTTCAGTTGCAACAACATAACCGGCGTGCGCAACGATTCCCGAACTCGCTCTAATCTCACGTCGCGGTCGATCGGGCCCGCGTTCGGAGGGGAAACGGGCGGGCGCGTGCCCGGGGTCGGCATTTCTAAGAGACGGGAAAATATTCAAGCGAAATTCGTTAAAAAAATGTGATTAATTTTAACAGCTGATGCCGGGAATAGACGTGCCGCTGTCGCGGGCGGGGAGTCCGGGAAGACGGGATGCGTTTTGTTTAATTTGTATCTGTACACGCAACGGCGATAAACATGTTGCTAACCGAAAACGAAATAAGTGTAATGTTGATAATTGGGGGAGGGAGGGGGAGGAAGGTAGGATAAATTATACGCCCCGGAGCGCAAATATTTTAAACGCAGTCCCGCGGTTATTCGTTGTGGCTCGGTAATTTATCATTTGAAAAAGGGTACTTCCCTTTGTCCGCGAAAACCAAATTAAATAATTATAACTGTTTTTTTTTTTTTTAAATTTCATTCGCGGTAACCGAGGTACCTCAGAAATTAATCAAAACAATTCGTTAGCAATAGAAGTGTATACTAAATAACTGGTACGCTATAGGCGGAGAACACCGTATACGGTTCGTCAAAACGCATAATTTAACGTTTTTTTGAAAACTATTGTTTTAGATTCCGAGTTAAGCGAACAGTGTGGTTGGTTTTACAAACACGTTTATTTTTTTTTTTATTTACGTGAACACTTTTTTTTTTTTTACTAGAAAGCTCAGTCCGATTATCGAGTTTAGCATGTTTCCTGAAACGGGAATGTTCTCCGGGCGGTACTTTAGAGAGGTCATTTTTTAAATTCTCATTAATATTCGAGATAATGAGGGAAACCCGGTTCTTTTTCAAACAATCATCGTTGTCACGGAAACGCACGTTGTCGTAACCGTTTTACCGCAATACGACACATTTCTATGTTGCTGACAACGAATCACTGACAACCGAACTCCGCTCTGAGTCGTGTTTTCGTTGGCGGCATTGGTTTACCAATTTGCCCACAGACATAAACATCAAATGCCCGTCTGTATTCCGCGTGTACGACTTCCCTTTCCCACCTACGACGGTGGCGGCGCCCGCGTGCGGAGTATATGCGCGTCCCATCAAACTTCAAGCCTCAAGTCCGGATTGCCGCGAAAATCGCGAGAAAATCACCGTCGACAACACGATAACGAGTAACACGTAGCTCGTACGCGGATCGTCGGCCGTTCCGTACGCATCCGCCCGACCGCGCGAACCGGTGTGCGATCCGTAATCATTGGCGATGGGGTCGCTTCTGCGCCGTGCGCGGTTTTCGACGGTTCCGACGAAACTATCGAATATTCCGAATTTTGTCCGGGTAATTTTTCTCGTCCGTCGGCCGCGAACACGTTCTTCATCCGGTGTATGGCCACCGGATATTTCGAGAAACCATTTATAAACCGTTTCCCCTCACACACCCCCTCCCCCCTCCCCGTACGCGAATATACGTACGCGTATGTCCCGGTTAGACCGTTCGAACGATTTTCCGGAACCGAACGGTTCGACACGGTGTGCGCACGGCCGTTCCGCCGCCAATAACGACGACCGCACAACCAAATTCAGCCGAGCCAATTCGTCGCCGGGAGCGCGGCCCACCCGCCGTTTCGTTGCGCGTAACGCTTTCGACGATACGAATGTACAGGGCGTGCGGCCGCGTTGTTGCACGCGCCGGATCCAACAGGTGCCGGTGCTGGTCACGCCGCTCCGCGCGCGCGCCGAAATCGCGATTTTTCTTCTTCTTCTTCTTCTCCTGTTCGTCTCTCCGTCACACCGTCGCCGCTGCCGTTATTTCCGTGTACGCGCGAACCCCCGTACCGTTCGGGTTTACGGGAACCGATAAACGTTGAAATGTTTTCAAACGATTTCGGTTTTCCCGACCGCGCGCGCCGTCGGCATTTCGATAAGGGCGGGGGCGCCACGGCGGCCGGTCGCCACTGCCCTCCCGAACTCCCGGCGCGACGAACGGCTTTTTCGGTCATTACGTCTCGTCGGCTTTTAGGCACTCGGCCATCGCCGAGTCTTACCGAGATGCGTTTTTTTTTTTTTTTTTACTCTCTTCGAAAACCGTTTTCGGGCGCGCGAAACGGCCCCGGATTTCGAACGCGTTGCACGCATCATTGTCGGCGCGCGTCGCGGAAGTGTGGTGAATCTTTCCGAATTTCCTCGTAGTTTTCCGAACGAACGGGAAAACGAACGTCAATTACGATTTCATTGTTTTCGATTTCGGATTCCGAGTGGAGCGAGGAACGCGTCGGTTTTACAATGACGCGTGCGGTTTTTTTGTTTTTTTTTGTTTGGAAACGACTTTTATTTTTTATCGATACATAAACCCCCCACGGATATCGAATTTCCGCAAATCGTATAGCACGAAAATAAGTATTGACCGCGAAGCGGGTATCAGTATAAGTAGGCAGTGTCAGACTTTCGACCGGGAACGTTTTTCACATTCAATCGCGGAATCTGTTGGATTTTTTTTGTTTTATAATTATTACTTACGTATAATATAAATACATTTTTTTTTTCTTAAAAAAAAAAAAAACATGACTTTTTTGTCCGACAGACTGCAACAGACAAGGTATTTATTAGTTGTATATAACATGAAGGTACGATTATTTTCAATCTTCGCCGCGGAAAAAAAAAAAACACCGCTACCGATATAATAAAAAATGAGGAGGGTGAAAAAAACAAAAGTTAAGCGGTATTTCTTTTTGTTTTTTTTTTTTTTTTGTAATGAAAAACAGAATTTATATTTTTCAACTATACCGCGAGCGTAGTCGCATTTATTATGTTAATATAAAAATTATAATACGACGAGTAGAACGGAAGAATATTTTATATAAAAAAAACCAACAACAACAACAACATAATGGACGACCAACAGAATTGTTTACGAGCGACGATATTATTAATGACGGACTCTGTTAATTTCATTTCGTACTATCGCGCGCGCATAACAACAAAGAAGAAGGAGATGGGAAAAAAAAAAACGCGATCGCCTAATTAGAACGCACAAAAAAAAAAAAAAAAAATCGTTGTATACGTTCCCGGGTCCGCGCGTTATTGCGTTGAGAGGAACGGTTTCCCGCCGGGCCCGTACACATGCGGACGTCAATTACCGTAACGAGAGCTCTCGTCGAGACCGTGTTGTCCCGAAAGCGCGGGTCAGGCCGCGCGAATCGACAGCGCGCGCGTAACCAACGCGCACAACGCGGCGGCGGTCAAACGGTCCGCGCGGGTCAGGCCGCGCTCGCCGTTGCGCGGTTTTTCGCGTTTCGCGCGTTTCCGTCCGTTTCGCGCGTTTCCGCGTTCCCGCGCGATATTGCGCGCGTACATCGACGGACCGCGTGGGCGCCGGGACCGACGGGAGGAGAGTCGACGGGCCCGCGGACGAATTCGCTGTCCAGCGTTCGGCGTGGTCGAACGGACGAATGGAGAAAACTCCATTGTGCCTACGGCGTACGCGCGATAACGAATCGCGAATGTTTTTTCAAAAGCCGAGTGTAGTCCAGCCGGGAGAGATTGCCGGACGGAGGTTTTTTTACGTCGGGCGCGTCGAGCGCGGCGCATACGGGTAAAAGGCCGTTTGATCAGGCGGGAAGACTGGCGGCGGCGCGAACGTTCCGAAATCAGACAGAATCAGAAATCGTACGGAGAAAAACGGCAGGAGATTCCGGCGGGATTTGTGTTCGGCAGTGCGGTCACAAAAAGGCCGAAACCGAGGAAACTAGAAGAATAATATTAGAAAATATTACTGTCGTAAAGTAGACGGATTTCATAAAACAAAAAAAAAAAAATAAAACACTATTTGATCATTATTTCGCTATAGTATTTACGTGTACAATCTATGGTTCGTATAGTAGTTGCTAGTTGGCAGGGGTGAGGGGGCGTAGAAGGAGCACCCGCGTAGATGGCGACTCACCAAAAAACAATCCAACGTCCCTAGAACGGCGCTCCAATCGACTCCGACGACCGATCCTTCTCCGAACACACCGGCGCTATAGGATGTCCCGGTCTTGAGGGGTTGCAGGGACTTTGGGACCGGAGCTCCCTCGAATTTCGTTTATACTATTTATAATATTATTGTTATCGTAACGACAGTCAAATGTGTTTTTATTTTATTCGATTATTATCGGCGTCTGACGCGCATCGGCGGCTCAACGGCACGAGACCGGATTTGCGGCAATCGCCGATCGATTGTTTCGTTGAAAACTATTTTGACATTTACACCCGTCGTCCTAGATCGACGGCTACGAAAAAAACGACAATTTCGGGCCGTCGACTGTGCAGCGTTACACTGGTACGGACGCGTCCACGCGGTAGTGCCGCGTTAGTCGTCGGCCCGCCGGAACAGATTATCCGGCCCCCATCGATTTCGCCGTCGCGAACATCCGGAGTATCGACGGTCCTTTCCGGAAAAGGACCCAGAAAGGTACACTTTAAATGTATACGTCACGGTGTTCGGTTACGGCCGTTGTAAACGCGAGATCGTGGACCGCGTGACAACGCGGTAATAAAAAAAAATCGTTGTTTAAAAATTAGCGGCAGTCGTTCGCCTGCGCGTGAGGACGGTGGGAAAACGTTCAAGACTGCCCCGGGTGCGCGCCCGCGGTTTCGGTAGAACCGCCACGGCCGGACGCAAACGCGGGTTTTCGTTTTACGACGCAACGGGAAAAACGAAAGCGCATGCACACCCCTAAAAAAACGCTTTCGTCAATATCCACTGTTTTTGGCGTCCGGCGTTTTCCGTTGCGCCCGCGGGAACGTCTCGCCCCGAACACCGCGTTGCGGACCGCAACGTCCGTCGCGTGGCGTTTTCGTTCCGGTGCGCTACGGCGGCGGCCGGTGCACCGGGTGAGCGGCTTTTGGATCACCGCCGTCGACTCGGCGACCTTTATCACCTCGCGACGAACGGGCCGCGAACCGACGGCGTCGTCCGCGCACATTCGGCGTTCGCCGCGCCGACAACCGCCCCCGGTCGGCACCGTTTCTCGCCGCGCGCTCGTACGCGTGAACCCGGGACCGCCGCGCACTGCCGTTGCACACGCCTGTCCCGGAACGGAGGTGTTTTTCCTCCGAAATCGTGGGCGCGCGCGAGCGATTGAACACGTTCCTCTCGCTAACCTCCTGCCCCTCCCCCCCCGCCCACTTACCCCTTCGTTGCCGTCGAATTTCCGCGATTTTCACCGACGTAATCACGACCGCGTTTTCGCGGCACATCTCGTCCGCCGCCGCCGCCGCCGCCGCCGCTGAGTCTTGCGCGCAAGTCCTTCGCCGTCGTTCGGCGGTTGCCGAAAAACCGCGTTCGCCGTGCACTTTCTCGAAACCATTGTATCGATCGATATTGTTTCAGACCGTCGGGTAAACGACGGGGCGAGACGAACCCCTTTGCCCGCGGGAAATCCGATCGGCGGCTGCTGCTGCGGCGGCGGCGGCGTCGGGTGGGATGGGGAGGGCGGGGGTTAGCCGGAGGCACGCGCGGCGACGAACTATATAAAATATAATATTCCGGTATTCGCCGGTCGTGATTTTCGTTTGGTTTTTTTATCTCCCGTTTCGGGTTTTTTTTTTCTTTTTTTTTTACGCGCCGAATCAACGGTATATTATACAATAATAACATAATGTCGACGCGACGGCGTACCGAAATGTCGCGTCTCGTCTCTCCGGGGTTTTTTTTTTTTTTTTTTTTCCCCCCGCGTCCCGTATAATTTTACGCGTCTATACGCCGCGGGGGGGGGAGGGGGACGTGGACGCGTCGTCGCGTGTGTAATACGGGCGGCGCGAAACGATCGCGATCCGTATTCGGAACGCGCGCGAAACGGGGTCCCGCGCCGGTGCTAGAGACGCGGCCCCGGGGGGATTCCCCGCGCGCGGGCCGGAACCGAAACGAGGGGCCGCCGGAGGAGAATACGCGTCGCGGCGTTTTCCGAGTGACGTCGTTCCCGCCGGCCCGAACGCGAACCGTTTGTTCCGGTGTTTTCCCGCGCCGCCACCACCACCTCCCCCACACCCTCCCCCCTCATCGCGCCAGCGCGTTTTTTTGCGGCCGGCGCCGCGGACTTTCGTCGTCCGCGACACGGTCGTCCCGGGCGTCGCCCCGCGGTTTCCCCGCGCGGCTCGACGTTTTTGTTTTTGATTTTTTTTTTCTTTCACTCCCGCGCGCCGCCGCCGATATCCGTCGGCCCCGACGGCGAACATTCGTCCGCACGCGTCGGGCCGAGCGTGCGCGTACAACAATCGGGCGCCGAAAAAACTCGGGGCGGCAAAACGGTCCGTTCAGAACGGCCCCCCCCCTCTAGTCGGTCTCCGGGTGGTCGCCCCCGGATAAATACAAGTGCTGCGTAAAAAGTAAACACTGTAGGACACTATTCCCTATCCGGCCTACGGCGGTGGAACATCCGTCCGCGGTGTCGGCTATTTTGTAGAAACGTGTATTTTTCGTTTTTTTTTTTAATATTTCGTAATTATATTTAACGCGTAATGCCCGCGGTATAACTGTGCCTTAACTACGTAAAACAAATGTACCGCAGTACGAGTATAGTACTCTTGAAATGAATAAAAAAAAATGTACGTACTTGGACACCTCGGCGACAGACGAGGTTCTCGACGGTTTTTTGATCGGAGTAAGATTTCCGATAGAAAAGCCGTTTACAGACACAGCAATTAAAAAGACGGACACACTTCGCTGTTGTAGGCGGGAAGTCGGGAAGGCAGAACACAGAAGGGGATTCAATGCTTATTGGTGAGCGACCGCAAACCGTTGCTAACGATAAAACGATTCTGAGCGGAATTAAGTCGATAGTGATACGTAGTCAACAAGGTCCGGTTCACGCAGCGACCCCGGATGAAGTTAGCGATTTCGAACCGATAGCAACGGTCGATGTTTATTTTATAACAATAATAACAATAATCTTTATTCGGTCGTCACGACTACCTGACACGGACAATTCGTTTACGCGGATTGGCGGTTCATCACGGATGGTTTTCACTGTGACAATGTTCTCGCAAATTGTGAACACCGATTTAATTTTCACGTTTAAATCGTTTTCCGCTCGTAAATTATTGATCAATCATCGAACCTACACTATTGACTGCGCATATTTCGTTACACGTTGAAAATTTATTGACCGCTAATTTTTTTCGCTATTTATCCTGCGGAAGTTCTAAAAGAACAATCGCCAATGGTAAGTGTTTTCTTTTTTTGCATAAATATTAAACGCTTAAGAGAACGTACAATACGTACCCTCGTGCATCGCCGCGCCCGTCTTCAAAACCCGCGGAACACAAAATTTGCGTTCAACGGGTGAATTTTACGCTGTCCGTTTACATGTATATATATATTATACACAGTGAATTGACCGTTTCAATATCAAAGTCAAAGGTGCGGACACTATAGTCCGTGTGTGTACGTGTCGGGGTTTTTTTTCCTCGATATTTTAATTATACGATATTATACGATCATTTTAATAATACGGTTGTGAGACAACGCGATATTTACACGCTTTAGACACGAGAAAGAAAATAAAAATCACCTCACAGTAAAACCAATGCACCCCTCGTCGTTCCGCTCGTAATCGAAAAAAAAAAACTATTATTTCGTGTTATTTCCTCACGAAAACGACGGTATAATTTTTTTTTTTTTTTTTACTCTCGACTTTTCCCATCGGCGGCGGCGGTAATAATACGATAATTGGTTGTTGGGCGCTAGCCAAAATACTTTCGTAAAAAACTTTACTTTACGACCGATACGATCACGGTCGCAAAAAACGGATATTGTCATACCGTCATGAGTAACACGGTACACGCGCAAAACGATCGGACGTCACGCGGTCGCCGGCGTCCGTTTTCACGCGTCGAACGTTCGACGGCGCGCCGCAACGCCGAGATCGGCTTTTTCTATTGGTTACACGTGAAACAAACGATTTTTACTATCGGTCGATTTTCGTGCACGACCGGGCCCCTTCAAACGGAACGGAAATCTCTCTGCACTCTTGAAAATCATGGTGAGATTTCCGGTGAAAAAAACGAAAAAATTAAAACACAAAAATCGTCAGAAAAACCCGTGTTATTGTACCGATAAATTCGTCGCCGGGTCCAAATTGCTCCGCGAGAACAAAAAAAAAAAAAAAATTGGCAACCAGTTCAAATAACATCGCACTAAAATATCGCGTTTATGCGTATTGTAAAATGTAACGCAAATATTCGATATTCGTTATCGTGTTTTATTTCTGTATAACAGGTCGATAACAATGTTTACGCATAATATAATGTTTACAGCAGGTAAAAACAACTTTCGTGTCGTTAATAATTGGTCTGCGCACTTGAGGAGTGAAAATCGTCCGCATTGTAAAAATCTATTAAAAAAAAAAAAAAAAAAAAAAAAAAAAAAATGCAGGCATTCTAATATCGGAAAGTGCCTAAACACCTAATATTTTCGTAATTCATCAGTTGCGGAACTATTAAAGTCGTCGGTCGCAAAATTTAATATTATCTATAGTAATTTGCACGAATATAAATAGTCGTCCGGCGATTTTATTTCGCTATAATAAACGACAGTGTACGAGCGCCGTACTCGCCAGATTTGGCACCGTACGACTTTTTTTTTGTTTCCAAAGATATAATCTGCTTTGAAAGGGACCCGATTTGAGTCGATGGAAGCGGTAAAGCAAAAAACGGCAAAGCTCCTAAAGGCCCTCACCAAAGAAGAGTTCCAGCACTGCTTTGATCAATGAAAAAAACGTATGGAAAGGTGTGTGGCGAGGGGAGGGGAGTATATTGAAGGGGAGCATTTGAATGTAGAATAATTTTTATAACAAAACGCTTTTTCGTAACTAGTCTCGTTATTTAATAGCCACACCTCGTGTATACCACAGTGACTTTCGGAATCATACGTGCCGGACCTCTTTTAAATACTTTCCGGATTGTTACGGCCTGCAGTGGCGTTCATTTGACTTTTGTTGACGGGGGAATTTAAATTGTTTTAACAACAGAACGCGAAAATCGTCCGAATAAGACCGACTTTATCGTGATATAGGTTTTAATTATTTTTTTATTATTAAAATAGGTGTCATTAATCAAATAAATACCTACAGTTTTACTATACTTAATAAATACGATGATGGAACTGTGATCGCGAGGCAAAATAATTTATCACCTATACTAGCTGGTCCTGCGCGGCGTTGCCCGTGACGAATTCAATGCCCGTGGATTTATCACCTTTTGAAACTCCGTTAAAAGTCAGCGCTAAGCTACGCGTATTTTCAATACAGTTATCTGGGTTGTTTCGATCGTATACAAAACACAGTGGATGCCCGGCGTGTTCTACTACGCTAAAAAAAATGAATTTTATTTCATTATTAACTTTTTGATCACCGCGATAACCAATAAGTCCACATAAATAATTCAATTGTCGTACCTTAAATACCAGTTATCCCGTGTCAACCACCCTTTAGAGGTACGGTTTCGAAATAAAAATTGGCTATAAATCGTCCGCTGGAATTGCAGATTATATCGGTAAAAACCGCATCCCAATCGGTCCAAGTAGATTCTAAGTCTATAACGGGCATTCAAATTTTTTTTTTTTTTTTTTGCGTTCTATACTCGTATAAAATATAGATTATTCAACAAAAAAAAAAAAAAAAAAAAAACGTACATGAAAATCGGCTGCCGTGTGATACAACATTAATAGATAATAAGGTAAGGTCTGTTTAAATGATTTTCGGTCTCCCATAAAGTGCAGGTAGCAGTTTCTGATTACTGTCTATCTGTTCGACTATCGAACTGACATCCGTTTAAGAGTTACAGCTGTTTTTTTTTTTTTTTTTTTTTTTTTTCAGACGGTTATATTACTATTATAACGTTTTAGATCAAGAAATCGGACTACTGCGGGAAGTACGCGTTTATTTCACTCCGGATTATCGGTCTGAACGTATAAAACAACCGAACCGTTAATCCCGTCCGCTTTGAGCCCTTTCTCTTAAAACTCGTCCGAACGAATTCGAACCGAATTATACGTGTGTTAGGTATACACGATACTAAATATATGAAAAAAAAAAAAAAACGGAAGTTTGCGTACGGCGAACGTTTTACACGCGCGTAATATTATCGTTCGTGAAAAAATCGTGTCGCCGGTAAACGCGGCGATAAAATATATTCACGATTGTACGATCGGTTATTACAACAACCATCGTGTGACACACGTATAACAATTATTATTATTACCGGTGTGGGTCGTCTCTCGCCGCCGTAGTAATAACGATAGTAATTAAAGCGGATCAAATCAGAGGGACCCGAAATATTATGTTAACGTTCTCTCTCTGTCTCTCTCTTCCTCTCCCTTTCTCACCCTCTCTCTCTCGCTCACCCCCCCTCTCTCTCACTCACCCTCTCTCTCTCCCTCTGCGCGTCTCCGCTCTCGAGTTATCGCCCCGAGACAGTCGAATCCTCGCGGGACGTTCCGTATTGTACGGACGGTTGTACCCGTACAGGAACCCACGTAATGATATCACGCCGGAACGTCAAAATCAATTTTCGAAACGTGTTACTGCAGCATATATCACTTGACAATATAATAACATAACCTACGTACATGATATATAACAATATCGAATCATACGTCGGATTTAACGATAGTTTAAATGAACTCCTCTCGTTCGTCCGTTCAAAATTCGAAAAAAGCCCGAAACAAACGCTGACGATTGTAAGTGTAATTTTTAAATGAATCAACTCTTTTGGATTATGAGTGGGCGAGGAATTTACGGGTTTTACAATGACGTTCAGTTTTTTTTCATCTGCAAACAATTTTTCTACCAGAAATTTCGGTCCGATCTACAATAATAGCACTTTTTTTTTTTAAAATGCAATTTGACTCGGGAGGTACTTTAGGGAGGTGATTTTTTTTTATTCCAATAGGGGTTTTTAATGCATATGCGATTTACTTTGCCGTAATATGATATATAAACTATTGACGAAACAACTCTATCAACCGAACTTCGCTCAGAATGGCTTTTTCGTTGCGTACAGATACACATCGAATTCCCGTCTATACCCTACCTTCCCAACTTTCTCGCTACAATAGTGGCTACATCCGTCCCCGTCATCCTAGGACAGCGTTTTTTTTTTCTAATTAAGTTCATATTACCAATGAACTCGTTCATTTCGGAATTCAGATTCCTAATTCTATACATTGGGAATTTAGAAAAATAATTTAAGCGATTCTGTTGGAAATACGGAGATGATCAATTCGACTGTAACGCACCCACTTGCATAGTACCGACATAATATACTTCATAAATATCTACAATACGATATTTTTTTTTATTCAAAATCACCGAGACTGCTAAAATTTAGTAAGATCCAATAGTAAAATGGACTTGATCCAAAAAAGTTCGTTGAAAAAAATTATTATGAACTTGTTCACGATCAAGTTTATATTTTAAATTAACGTTTCGAGCTCCGTACATAATAGTATAAGGCCTGCGAAACTCCCTATCTTCACGTGTGAAATAAATTAGTGACCTTCGGTCACAGAAATTCGATAAACGTGTTCTGGAATAAACAGCTGACCAATGATTTTGATATCAGTACGGATCTTCTGGTTTACTTGGATAGCGAACCAGCGGATTTCGCGCAGGGTGTCCCGTCAACGCGACAGTAAACGTTTTCATAAATCGGATAAACAAACGCAGATCATTTGGCGTACCGACTCGTTTTCATATTTTCGGAGGATCAGATTTTAATCTGCAAACACGTGTCGATCGAGTGTAACACGATGAACACTATTGTTTTAATATCGTAGGATAATAACTGTAAAATTATGTAAACATGAACGTATCTACGGTATCTGCGGTACAGTGTTCATTTCGGAAGGGGTGGGGAAGGTGACCGGGGACATATTACCTCCTCCCCACGCTGAAAAATGTACACCGCACCCTGAAAATATATGACATTACTGTAGGCAAACTACTTGTGTTATGATATGCGTAATGATAATAATAGGCGCCGATTATGAATCATCATGTTGACAATAAAATAGAAAAATATTGTTACACAAATCGCCGTGTTTACACAAGCTACGAAAAGAAGTCGTCATTGAGCATATTTTCTTAATTATTTCCCCAAGTGTAAAAATGTCCGGGTCCGACTCTGCGTTCGGCATACTCTTTTGGAAATTTACGGTAGGCACTCCCCCGTCGATGAAGGTCTGAAATAAACACTACTACGCTATATCGAACGCGAAAAATGTACTCAATATTATAAGTGTTTTATTGTCAAATACAAATGACCGTTTTTCACAGTTGGTGGTTTATTTAACCCGCGAACTTGGGTACTAAATCTTTGGTCTCGCGGAAGACGGGCTTAAGAACATTTTGGATTTTTTTTTTTTTTTTTACAACTTTTTCTTTTGGAATTTTTTCCCTTTAATATTATTCGGTCCGAATGCCGTAAGCGCGTGCATATTTTAACACGTGTTATACCTACTTGAAATTAAAATGTCATAAGTCACTGTGATGCACTTTTTGTTCGGCAAAAACTGCACAAGTCATGTAAGTTTATGACTTCGGTTATTTAGAATTAAGTCGTACCGTTTAGAAATAATTATTTAGCAATTTTCCAAACTAAAACCAAACATAATTGACCGAAGCCTTGCTTTCCGGGATCCAAAGAAATAATCACGCGAGTACTAAAATTAGGGTTTTTTTTTGTTGTAAATATTCATGAGAAACTAGTCTCACCTTTCTCCCGATGATATTCGATATCCGCATAAAACAAAGAATTAACCTGCGCGATCAGTTTTACTATATATGACGTGTGTTTTTTTTTCCCTGTCTGAGAAAACTTTTCATCTAAAGGACGTGCTCGTAGTTATTTTTCCAATAAAATTTCATATTCGAATTTTTTGAGGAGGCTTTCGACACATAATCAACGGTCTATAATAGGTTTCGGCCCATCAAAACTGTCTGAATACAAATGCAATACCGTAAAGTTCTATTTTATTAAAAAAAAATATCCAAACTTTTCTCACGATATCAAAAAAAAAAATAGGCATGGTACTTTGTTTTCGCTCGGACATTCATTGACATTTTTTCGCCCATACAATGCACGTGATTGGTAAGTCATCGCCTTTCCCGGGGTCTAAATCAGTGTTTCTCGACCTTTCGGAGTCTGCGTTCTTTCTTCCCGCTATAATGTCACCAAGACTTTCTGACGACCTTTGACATTTTTTTTTTTATTATATATGCGATAGGTATACATTGAAACATTATTTGTTCGGGTCTATTATGCTGTACGATTATGATTATGAACATTAACGCGATTAACACGACGACGATAGACATAAAAACGAAATGACGAGCTATCTTGTGTGTATAGGTGACCCTTAAAAATTTGTCGGCAAACCCCGACGGGATCGCGACCCTCCCGCCTCCACCACCACCATTCCCCCGGCCGAAAAACGCCGGCACAAACGACATTTTCGAGCTAAATATTTATGAGCGTTTGGATAATGTATAACTTTATCGTGGTCTACAGAATAATAGTAATAACGTCTTCTGTACCTTTTTATTATGAAATCGTTAATCTTTGTGAGAGGCGCACTGTATAATAATATACGTGATATTACAGTAAAAATATGTAACCTATTTAAACGCGTACTGTGCAATATTCAAATATTTGTGTGTTTTTTTTATTTTTTTTTTTATTCTCGATCAATATATTATAATATGACGATGTATGTGTGTACTTTAAACTCATCGCCGTGCCTATATGAATAAATAATAACAATATAAAGGGCGCGTGAACGTTCACAATTGTTTATTTTTTTTTTTTTTTTTTTTTTTTTCCGGATATTACGTTATAACGTCGTCGTCGGCTATCGTATTTTTTTTATGTCAAGACCATATTACTATAATAATAATAATAATGCGTATGGTAAAATTTCTTTGCGGCGATAGAGAGGCGAGTGAGTGTTTGCAAACCGACCATTGTGTTTGTCGGATACGTATAGTCGTATAGAACATTCAAACACCAAAGGTACCAAAGACCTTGAATTTAGTGTATAGGTATAGTTTTTGTCATACAAAAGAGGTCAGTGGTTCCAAAAAAAAAAAAAAAAAAAAAATGAATACGAACACGAAAAAATCGAAAAGACATGTATGCTTACTTTTTCGTCTTGGACACCGTACCAGAGTAGACGAATAATATAATTTACCGCGGATAGTTAATGTAATATTATGATAATAAAAAAAAGTGCACAGGTACAGGTATTTATGTACTTCTGTAGAGTTTAATTTTTTCCGACCGCGTGTTTTAACAACCGGAGAGTAATAAAAATATATCCGCTCTTATTATACTTAATTATCGTCATTTAAAAAAAAAAAAAATTCAAATTACCTGCGACTCTTATACTTTTTTCAAGGCGAAAAAACTTAATTTTTATTCAAGACAATAATTTCTTATGGTGTACATGTTATGTACGTATTATTATTATTATTATTATTTTTTTTTTTTTTTTAAACAGCAAGCCAGACCGACATATTAGGATATCTGTTTCACAACGTCAAATACAACTAATACATCTACTTTACTATTACCTTTCGTTTGTAAATATTTTTGTCCGCCTACTAGTTTTTTCGACGTACCTTTAGGATATTATACAGAGTGCGTCTGCAGGATGTATTGCGCACGGGAAATGGTCGAATTCTGCAGACGCGCTCTGTATACCCGCGTTTTTCAGACTTATCTGTGATATTTTATTGCGCGCGAACCAATCGCTATTATCGGGTCTATAGGCGCCTCGTTTATTAGCGTCTTATCGTACATACGAAAAACGTCCGATAAAGTGACCCGAAATAAACTCCTAGGAACGTGCCCACCTACATTCGTACTTTCTAAATTGTTTTTTTTTTTTCTTAATGTTTTTTCGAAGACAACGGCTGTTATTGGTACACGTATACCTACACAATAGCGCGGTAATATTATTACCCGCACGGCTATTACGCGACATCCGAATAATATATTTAAAGCTTCTTTTTTTCCATATTTCTTATGACGAAAATGTAATGTTTTAAAATTAAAATTATCGATTCGATTAAGTATATTAACAATAATGTAGAAATATTGACAGAATATTTTCCAATTCGTTGTTTTTATTTCTTCCTTCACCCGAGCACCGCTTTCGTTTACAATAAATAATTTTTGAAACGGCACAATATACGTTTTTTCAAAAAGTTTAAATACGTGTGGTGGCCAAAATGGTAAACGCGTATTTCTTATGTTATTATTGTTTTTCTCGGATACATTTACAATAATAACGTATAACGGCGTGTTATAATAGTATAATTTACTCCGGCCAATCGTCTGCTCGGGTGGCGATCTGGCGGAATTTATTTTTCTGAGCAAATATCATATAACCATGCTTTTACTCGCAATTTTAACAACGTAAAAACGAAAATTTACGATATTTAAAAAAACAATGTATGTGTATAAATACATAACATATAGTATACCGTCGATTATTCGATTTTCATTCGCTAGTGTAATATCATAAATAACCATTGGTGCGCGGCGATTTTAATTATTATTTTTTTTTTCGACCTATATGAAATGTAATTAGATCGAACCGAATGCGCACGATACAGGGTCTACCGAATTGTATGACATGTAACACACAGTAAATTTCACCGTGAAATATTATTTGGTCGAGGGACGTTACAAAAAATGTCTATACCGAAGTGTATTCAAACCAATCTGATCTATTTGATCTATTTTATAAAATGTTTGACGTAATACGGGTTGCCATTTGAAAATAATAATTTCACGGTCAAATCGACTGTAAAATACATTGTTTTTAGAAGACCTTTTTGTTTACTTGCCGTATCGAATATTGAAATAAAAACACGATGTGATGTTTTGATGATATTATACCTTTTAATAAGCGGATCTTTCGCTTGAACGATTTTTCGAAATCCCCTATATTTTTTCCGAAAAAATTTGTTTCGATAGTTTTTTTGTTTTTTGTTTAAAACACTTTTTTTAGCTAGGAAAGTTCTTCGGTTATTTCACACGGTTCTTTAACAAATTCGAAATTTCTGCCCGGCGGTTCTTTGAAGGGTTACTCGAAATTTTCAGTATTTCGCCCCCCCCCCTCCGAGTCCTTTTTTTTCGGTTGTTCGATTTACGTGTACATCTCCGGACTCATATTACTTCACTCAGAATCGTTTTTCGTTTGCGAGGATTTATCACGACGTAAACTAAATTATTCTGAAAACCTTACCCCAATCGCTAATCACTTATCGCAACACCGGTCCACCCGTGAGCAGCACTGTATTTGTTCAACAAAAATGTCAAAAATATACATTTTCGAGTCTGATAACACACACGCGTTGTATAGGTCGGATAACTTGACACTGACGCGAATTATTAGAGCGTCTAAAGTTTGTCAAAGGGGTGAAATAATAGTCAAGTGCGATTTCGAGGGATATACGTATGGCGTAATTGTTATTATGCTCCCTCCATCACCGCACAAACGTTTCTCGTCCGAACTTTAGACTCCTACGAACAACGAAATAAGCTAAACCCTTCCGTTTCGATCGCATTACACCTATACATGCACGGAACAGGAAACGGAAAATCGATCGACGCCCATTCGGCCGACAGGACATTTGACCGGCGACCAAAATACCGACGGGGTCGATCGACCGACAAGATAACCGACCGGCAGTCATTATTTGTTTATTATTTGTCATTAAATGCCGATTTTTCTCGTATTGTGTATTATTACAATTAATTCCGATGTGTATCTCCGACGGACAGGCCATCCCCAGGTTCGTTGGACGCGCGACACCAATCGTTTCATGCGTGTCAACAAATTGACCGTTTTAATGTTTAACTGCAAATCCTTGTTAAGACCCATTTGGCATTCCAATACATATGCAATCCAAATTAGGGCATGTGCAAAACCGTTCTAAATTCGTGCCCTGCCTACCCGCAACTCTCCGCGTGATCTCTTAGGCACCGCGGTACGTATCCGATTCCAAACTCCATAACGACTTCAAAATATCGGAATCGGTCGATCAATATTGTTATAGTCACTAGACATTATGAAAAAAACTCCATTCTAAGTTACAGACCCACTCTAACCGTCTATAATCGCTGAACTCGCTCGCAACGCACTCTCTGGAAATTCCACGCGTCGACTTAAGAGAAAACGGTGTTGCGATCTATTAAACGATAATGATTTAATGCGAAAAAATAACTAGACAAATATTGTTAGGCGCTATCACTGGATGGCCTCCCTCCTCGCGGTGTACATAGCGTTCTATATCTATTTGTTTACTAATTTGTTTATTATGGCATTATGCCGCGAAGCGTGGATTGTAAATATTCTTGTAATAAAAAAAAAAAAAAAATCAATCATTGTTATTATCTCGCAGGAAAATTGTACCGCGCGGCAACAGACGCTCATCGATCGCTAAATCACACGGAACCTTTTTGTTCCGATTGCGTACACGTCGAATAAACACGCGGCTCCGGTGCGCATTTTTATTATTTTGTGTATATTGTATAAATGAAAGGATGACGTAGGAATGTAATATTGTCCATACACAACAGGGCGGAGAAAAAATAGTCATGTCAAAAAAGGTCATGTCCAAAAATTAATAAACAGCAAAGTGAACGGCGCTTGAACGCCGCTATTAAAAATCACGAAGGTAAAACACGCGCGCATCTTCGAGCCAGGTCTATCTCAAAATCTGAATACATAAATATGTTATTTAATAATAAATTAGTAAATTAATTAATATTTTTTAGATTCTTTTTAGATTTTTAGTAAAAATGTTTTTCGTCGATTTTTCATGCGACCACGTTTTGGAAATATAAATTACATGACTATACTTTCTACACAATTGTCGGCCGATTGTCCTGCCGGTATTTTGGTCGTCGATCGATTGACCCAGACCCAGGCGGAACATTTTGCACTTATCGGTAGTACACACAAATCATGAAACTATTGTTGGGTATATTTTTGACAAATCTTTTAGTTACGTATTTTTTTAGATTGGTCGATTATTTAATCGCCCGTCATGTTTTATAAAAAAAAGCTCTCACTATTTATGGTTTTCAGGAAAATCAAAAATACATTTACTTGTGATTTTAACATTTTATTTTTATTTTTTTAGATTGGCAATAACTTCTTTTCGACAGGAATAAAGAATGTTTTCATTGAATATGTTTTTTTTTTTTTTTTATATACATCCTTGATATGAATACGCATTGTTGATTAGCTTTTATGGTCGTTTAGATTTTATAATAATTGAGAAGGCAAAATAAAAAGTGTCATTTATAACTCGAATTTAAAATTTAAATTGTTCGTTAAATAATGGCCACAGCTGGTTTTGCATACGCGCAATGTACGAAACACGTATTTCTCTAGCCAATAATGAAGCTGTGTCGGTCCATTGGGCCCAAAGTGTCGCTTAGACTCTTTTGCCGTGTCACCATCGATATATTGAATTATCTGTCGACGAATTCGAGTGTTATTTCCAGTAGTACGAAATTTCGATAACCTAAGTATATGATATTTGTTTTAAATTCCCAGTTTAGCGAAAACGCATTTTTGATTAGTGAAATATCTCGGATATTTTCTTTCCGTGTATACATTGAAAGACGCTTAAATTTTTCACCCGACAAGTTTTTTAATATCACGAGTGTTTCATTCTAAAATTTTTTAAAAATTCTACGACAAGTGTGCTCCGCTCAGAATCGGTTTTCGGTGGCGATGATTTATCGTTGCTTTCAGCGTTTTATCAAATTTTCACCGAAAACACTAATTTTCACGCTATTGCACTGCATCGTGTCTATTTCATAATATTATTTTGTATACATCTTTTTCCCGCTTCTTTTGGACACTTCCAGCTACTCCCGTTAGTCAAATTCGGAGTTGTATTGTTTCGGAGATAGGTTAGAGTTACAAAACCTCGATTGAATTTCGATATAAATCTCACCGGGTTTTGGAGGAGAGGAGGTCGTTGTTTATAAGCATTTACACCCATTTATTACAAACCCCTACAAATGAAGTCAGCGGGGGGTGGTATTTTGTATATGTGCAGCATGATATGCGTATCATTCAGCCCACCCCCCGATTTTACGCTTAAATTTCATGTTTTCGCGGTAAATTGCCCTTACAGACTGATACGTAATAAAGCTCTGACAACCGTAACTTGTTTACGTAAATTATAAATTGTAACGGCGCAATTCTATAGTGACGGAGGCGCTCTGCAACTCGCAGGTGTTATTATTATTAATTTTTTTTTTTTTTTTTAATTACGAAAACATTATACTTGTTTAATAATAATATAATTGCGTGTGCCCGTCTACGTGATTATTTTCGTTTGTCGAGATTGTTAAAACTACACGACGCCGATGACGCTTATATTAAGCTTATTATAATATTACTATTATTGCGGTGACGAGGAACGCACTTTATCTCGCACGCGATTTATTACTAAATTGCCAGGGGATCGTGAACACGTTAAATAGGTATATTATATTATATGGTATTATTATTATTGTCCAAGACAAACCACGCGACCCGATTTAAATTCAAGAGGACGAGTATTGAGCACGTTGCAACTGGGTCGAATCGCAGAGACACCGCGAGGTCGTCGCACATTAAATACGTAGTGCACTATCGGATCGGGAAAAAATATCGTTAGCGAATTAGGTACCACATAGGCATTAATATTCTATTCGGACTCGACAGCCCTCTGCGTGTTTTCGGTGTTTTCCATTCTGAGCGCGACGAACAATGCGTATTATTTGTGTTGACATAATAATACGACGTGCGCGGATTTATTTTTCCTATCTCGCAATAACTTTTCCACCGGAAATCTTACTCCGATAATCACGCGTAACGTCACTTTTTTTTGTAAGCAAATTTTATCCGGTCGGTGCATCGGGGAAGGTCGTTTTTCGATGTTTCTTGTAGTTTTCTTCGGAATCATAAAAAAACCCGGGGGGGGGGAGGGAAACGTCGAGAAAACGATAATATGTTTACGACGTTATAAGGGCTTAAATGATTTTGTTTTTATTAAAAACAATCGTAGAGACCTGAAAGTATTTTACCTGGAAGTTTACAGTATTACGTTGTCATTGCGGTTAACTTGCCGAATCGCAAAAAAATAATTGCGTACAAATAGCATTCAATACCGTATGCCATCACACGTTAACCTTTTGGAAAAAGCCAGTTTGAAAAACGACCAGGGTACTATACGTCGACCGACGACCGACTGACCAGAACAACGACCGAATTCCGATCTGTATTACCGACTAAATTGTTTATCTCAAGGCCGGATAAGTTGATGAATAATGACTCGATTTAGTAAAGTTAATTAGTTGAACGTTAATTGTTTTATTAATTAAGTTGATTGGAACGTTTAAAATGTTTATGGTAATATAATTTATTAACTTGTTAATAGATGCAGTGAAACGGTACACAGAAGCTGGATTACAACGAGGAGATGCAGTAGGCGTGTAATGGAAAATAGACGGACGAAACATTATGTTTGGATGATTGGTCTTTAAAACTCGAAAGCCGTTACACTTACAAAAAAAAAAAAAAAAAAATTGAAATGCTATTGTCATATAATGAAAACGATTAAACCTAGAGTTTGTATTTAATTTTTTTTTTTTTTTGAAAATACGGCTATTTAAAATGTTAATATAAATGCTTTATGCCGGGAATCATACTTATTTTTTAAAATTCGAAATTCCGCATGTATAATTGAGAAAAAACGATTATTTATTTTTCAAACAGTGTATAGTATTGATCATCATTGACGTTTGGTTATGAACTGAAATCGACTTACAACTGGGTGAAATTAACTAGTTATTTATCGAGTTAATGTATACGAAAAAATAAGTCAAGTTCAATTAACATATCAGAGAGACAGCAGCTTTGACGTTTACAATATCGAACTAGCGTTACGACATTATTATTTTGCGAAAACGTATAAGTGTATTTTAATCGAATTGTTCTTTTTAAGGACACCGACCGGACAAATCGATTACGTGTCCGCTCTATCAGAGGGTGAACCCCTTTGAAGCATCATATTATAATAATATCGTAATTCAGAGCGGTTTTCGTGTATAGGTCTACGATTAATTATAATATACAAGTTGTTATTCGTCGTCGTCGTCGTCGTCGTTATAGTCGCTGTTTAGTACCTATACACAATATACGTGACAATAAATGTACAAATGTTCATTTTTTTTTTTTTTTTTTTTCCCGATGACAGACGATTTTGACGATAATATTATAATATAACACATATGTATACATAAAATACAACATGACAAAGTATATAATATAACACGAAATACACTTTCCTGTGTACCTACCTATAATATTATAGTAATAAAAAAAAAAAAAAAAAAAAAAAAACTGTTATTTCCCGATCGAAAGTATGTTTTCATTCATAGTATATAATTACGTTATAATTGTGCGAATTAGAAATATTAAACGATTATCATTATACTGTATTACTTGTATTATGATGTATTTAATAATAATTTATACGAAAGAAATAATTATACACGGAGTGATTTCGTTGCCATAACACGATCCAGCAATTGTCTACGAAAATTTCGAGTAAAATGTATTTCTTTGAAAATTATTTTTTCCATTTAAACGATAAAATATTATGTAAACCTGAACAACATTTTCATTTTTTTTTTTTTTTTTCAAACTTGGAGGTTCTACAACACGATATCGTTTGTACGCGCGCGGTCTGGTTATTTTTTACCCTCCGTCTTCTCACAGTTATTTAATGTATTCCGCCCATTCCCCCTAAATTCCCTCCGTATCCTTGTTAGCGGTGTAATTACGACCGGGTCCCGAAGACTTTTGGGCCGTTTTGGGGACAAGAAAATAGAATACGACTCATACTGTTATACTCCGCTCATAATCTTTGTTTTTCGTTTGCAACAGTTAATTATCATCGCACACAGTATATTTAAACTAGATCGCCTGAGCATCATAAAGCGACACAGTGGTTTTTCGTTTGCAACGTCTTTGGAAACGCTCAACGATTCCCCCGGTTTTCGTTCAATCGTTTTTGTATTTTTTCGAAAAGCTGGTGGGTAATGACCCGGCCTGCCACTCCTTCGGGCACCTATACATGGGCAATATGCCTCACGCTTCAAAATCAGTATCTAGATACTCGATATCTATGTACACGTCGATTTCGCTGTACAAGGCACCTGATACTTTCCAGAACTGTACTGCGATTCAAAATACAAGATACAAGTTTATCGATAATACATCACCCAACCCTGCAACCACTCATCTACAATAGTAGCCTAGCCGCGACGCGAACTATGGGTACGTTTTTTTTTTTTTTTTTTTAAAGCTGTTTTTAGATTTTTATCGCTTTGTTTGAAACGTTTTTCTCTATAGTAATGCGTGTTATGACCGTTTCAATTTCACAAATATATTGCGTCAGCCGTCAATTATAAGTCTCGTGATGTCGAACAAACGGGGATTAGACCTATAGACAATATTTTACCAAAATATCGGTTAATAGTTTTATAATAGTATAATAACGTCTAATTTCAAACTAATATTGTCTATTGTTAGTTATCAGCTTGTTTACACCGTTTTGTTCTCGGGATAAACTGTCGACGAGATATTTAAGAGTATATTCATCGTTCAATACATTATAACAGGGTTGGAATAGCAATAATGATAAAAAAAAAAAAAATTATTTAAAGACAGACATACTTCGCACGTGGATGCAGCCAGTGTTGTAGTTGGGAAGTTGGAAAGGTAGGATACAGAATGAAATTTAATATATATATCTGTAGGCAACGATAGACCATTGCTAATGAAAAAAAGATTCCGAGTGGAATTCAGTTTATAGTGACGCTCAAATATAGAATAAAAATATATAATATAAAGATTAATATTTAAATGAATGTAATAAAATCGAATTTTTTTTTTTTTAATATACCACATTCTATGTTCTCTGATGCTTTTTCAACAATGTGCGTTTCCGCGACAACAATTATTGTTTAAATAAAAAGAATAAATACAAATGGTTGCCAATGACAACATTATTTTTAATCGTTCAGTCTTTTTAACCTAAAAAACGAAGTTTTCCTCATTATCTCGAATATTAACGATAATTCCAAAAAATAACCTCTTTAAAGTACCACCCAGAAAACATTGGGTTTCAGAAAATGTGCTATACTTGATAATCGGAGTAAGGTTTCTGGTATAAAATGTTCACATAAAAAAAAAATTAAATATCATTGTAAAACCAATACATTCCTTGTTCCGCTCAGAATCTAAAATATTACTTATCAAAAGGCAATTTCCAATGACGTTACATAAATCATTAACATAAATACAGTTTACGCCCCAGCGTTTTTTATTTGATTTTTGAAAATATGTTGGAATTTGTCATTTTTAAGAATAATAATTCACAATGCCTCCAGTTTTTTTTTTATAAAATTATCAAAAATCGATTTTTTCGAAATTTATTTTTCCGTGGGTGTTTTAGATTCTGGCCGAATTAAGGAATGTATGATTTTACTATGATATGTTTTTTTTTGTAACTATACTGAATTTTCTGCCAGAAATCTCGGTCCAAACAAAAATTTTATATGGACTCTCTTGTAGAATTTTTTATCTAGTTCGTGTATTGAGGAAGCTTTTATCAATTTCTTTCTTTTTTTGTGAAAATCAACAACTTCTGGTTTGATTTCTGGGTTAAATATGCAACAAGGGAAAAATTATAATTTATTGTACACTCTGTTTAGAATCGATTTTCGGTATCAACGATTTATTGTTTTATAAATTTAATTAATCTGTATATCTTCCCTTTTAACTTCACTCCTAAAACATTGGCACACCCATCAGCAGTATAACGTTTTTTTTTTCTTCACACAAATGTTTTAATCGCACAATTTACCGTTATTCTCCGTTGAGCACCACTAATAATATAACGATGTACACACCAGATCATTTTTTCGGCGTTTTTTCTCCGACATTTTCGTAACTATATTATCATAATATACTCCGTGCACATTAAACCGCCTATAATAAACGCGTTTGATGTTAATCGCAATGAAAAACAAAAATTAATAACGCCCTATCGCGTACGAACTGCGCCCGAGATTATTATTATAAAATACACAGCATATAAGTACTATAACGAGACTCGTCAAAAAGTTTCGAGTACGCTTTTAGGTGAGGCGTCGCGTATGTTGCATTAGGCATGTGGCGCGGAAGAGAACGCGAAGTAAAAAAAAAAAATAAAAAAAAAAAAAAATACGTTAAAATATTTAAGAGGAGTCGTATAATGATTAAAAGTTACAACGAGTAAGTGTAGGTAAGTACACAATAATAATAATAATAATAATAATTATTATTAATATTATTGTTCCGTTCACACTACGAACGCCCAGACATAAACGCGTACATGTAGAGATGTGAGCCGGTTTTACCTTGGCACGAGCAGGTCGTTAAAGATATTATTGACGACACGCGACGAAGTTTTAAAAATTATTGCGATCGTGATTGTTGTTTCCCTGTCCGACTTGAAAATGGCAAGTCGTCGCCATCATCACTATAGTAAAAAAATAATAATCGAAATCGACGTGTATAATTCGCATAATATTAACGGAACTTTTGAGAAGAAAAAATACACCCATACACAGTTTTTAATTTTTAAATCGAATTTTCGATTTCGCTTTGAAACATTAATTTAACATAGCTAGTGACGGTCGCGCGTAGTTACCAGATAAATGGCCAGTAAAACAGCAATAATCATGTCAATTTTATGCGAACACTTTTTCTATTGGAAAGCTTATTCCAATTATTAAGTGCGGCAACTTATATAGAAGGAAATGTTCTCTTGGTGGTACCTTAAAGAGGTAATTTTATAAAATTCTCATTAATTTTCGAGATGATGAGGAAAACCTTGTTATTTAGATTAAAAAGGATGGAAAGATTAAAAAAGAGGTTGTCATTGACAACCGTTTTTATTTATAATTTTGTTATTATAAAGCTTTTATTATTTTAATCTTTTTTAAACAATTATTTTTTTCATGGAAATTCACATTGTTGTAGTCATTTTACCATAATATGACACATGTATATATTATTAACACTTTAAAAAAAAAACTCCGGTCAGAATCGTTTTTTCATTAACAATGGTTTATCGTTGCTTACAGGTGTACATTAAATTCCCGTCTGTATCCTACCTGCCCAATTTTCCACCTACACAAGTAGCTGCATCCACGTGCGCAGTATGTCCGTCTTTTTTACTTAGTTTTTATGTAACGCCAAACAACGGAACTTTTTTAGGAGTGTAGACGAGGAGTCACGGAGAAACACGTTTTGAAAAAATACGAAAATAAATGTTTTCGTTCAACACAAACACGGACAAATCCTTGTGGAACATACTTCCTAATGGTGAGAAGACCGAAAAGCTTCCTAACGGTGAAGGGAGTAAAGGGGGTGATTTGAGAACCGAAATGGGATATTCCCGGGCAAGGGAAGTATTCTAATGGAAATTCATTAATTGATTCAAACGGTTGGTTCTCTAGAAGGTTGAAAAGAGGTAAGTATAATTTTATAACTTATAAATATAAAAATCTTCTCAGAATTCTTTTCGTCCTTATTTCAAGTTGGATTTCTTACAGTAATAATAATATTTATTCAATAATATATTGTTTTGGTAGATTGTCGTTGAAATAGATTTGATTTGATCAAGTTGTTTTGAAGCTCGGATCTTAATATATTTGTGAAAGTTCCGATTTCGATGTCAATTTGTTCTGGGATTGATATTGAGGTTCTATTCAATGCAATTTTGAAGTTATCGGCGATCGTACATTTTTCCCGGTTAATTTTGTATTTGGTGAACTGCATATTGGGTCACCATAGACTTTTAGAAGTGTTAAGTTATGATCTGAGAACAAGTATTTGAAGATTAAGACACTGTCAAAGTAGTAATTATAATATACATAGATAACGTGTGTAGAAGAATGTAAAGAAAATACCTATCAGTTCAAGACCGCAAAAATGTGATTATTTTCAATATATTAGGTTTTCTGTCCAGGTCGTTATTCTCTTATTTTTTATTTTTATATTTTAAAAAGAACTGATACTGGGGATGTGAGCGGACACTGTTATAGGTGAGAAGTTTAGAAGGTGGGATGCATAAGGTCATTTCATTTATATCTGCAATCAACGGTGAACCATTGCTTGACGAAGGACGATTCCGAACGCAGTTCGGTAATACATAATTTTTGCGATTTTCGTTTAAATTTGATTTCTAATCGCATATTAGAAAAAAAAAAAAAAAAAGTCGTCCGATGATTTTGGAAATTTTACCACATCTAGGCAAGTCCAATATAAGTGTTATTACCAAGATTTAAGTCTCTACGTACATTTATAACCGAATTACAACAAAAAAAAAAAAAATTCCTAAAAATTAAAATTCCTTAAAAGCTCGAGAGTAAAGACACGAGTACATCGATAATAATAATAATAATAATAATAATAATAATATACACGTGTAAACAACGGCCTCACTTTCGTATATTTTATCATATTTTTTACATACACTCGTATATGTGTACGGATATTTATGCGCTACATTTTTGCCCGTGTTGTATGCGAAATACGCCGCCGTCTCCGAGCAGGTATCTGTATTATATACTCGGATTCCGAAATATTTCACTTTCACTTTCCTACGGGCACGAAATATAATAGTGCGTGAGCGTGCCTACCTTCTCTTGCGGTAATAATAAACGCGATATCCGTCCGCGAGAACCGCTCGCGCGATTGTCGAACGCCACAGATTATTATGACGTGCACGGGTTATATACAGGGCGATTTATTATTGTTATTAACGGTTGTTGTTTTTTTTTTTTCAATCGCGAAACGCGCCGTAAAGGCGATTTCGAATTATGAGTGTGTTGTGACATTCGTTTTTATCGAAATTTCGTTTTTTTTTTTTTTTTTTTTTTTTTTTTTCCCCCAAAAAAANATTATTGTTATTAACGGTTGTTGTTTTTTTTTTTTTTTTTTTTTTTTCGCCCATAAAAAACCCGAAACGCGTACCGCGCGTTCGTTGGTACAGCTA